GTTATGCATAAGTTAGAAAAAGATGGGCTTAAAAAATGGCACCGCTGTAGCCTGCCCCTCCATTTCCCCGTCTGCCTTTGTCAGAGGCGTGCACTTATTCTAGATCATGACAAATTAAGACCTCTAAATATACAAATAACCACACCACTACTTGGGCTGAAAAAAACATAACCTCACGTACCGTAGAAATACCAATCCAGGGTTAGAATAGGCAATTTTTTTACAGATCACGCATTAGCGAACCATTGTAGTTGCTAATAAAATATGAAAGACAGAAAAAACACTGAAAATTGATTGAAAATCGCAAATATTCCCAAACACAGCACATCAACACTGGATAGTCAATTTTTGACATAAAATGGACAAATGTGTCAAATCCCGTGTCACTGGAGTGAACAGCGTTGCCATAGCTATTTCTCTAATACATTATGAATTTACGTTTTTCAGAAACTAAATAATTTTAAAAGTAGAAATTACAGATTTTATTTGGAAAGACGCGTAAGTAGTAATATTTTCAATTGAGATGACACAAATAAAGCATACAATATAATCAACATTCCCTACGTTTTCAAACACAGGCGGTAGATGGTAGATCTAGGGCAATCCGCAGAAATTCGCCAACATTGATTTCTGGCGAAAACAATGTTTGATCGGGATAAAATGTAAACAATTCTGTCTCTCTTTTATTATATGTCTATGGTTCTGAGCATTCGTTACATTTATTGAACCTATATTATTTTTATAGAATATTTAATGATTAAGTTCCGATTTGAATGTAATTAGGATCTAATTAATTAAAGCCAATGAAATTCTCTACAATCTCTACAAACCTATTAATTGAGATTTCAATTTGGTTTCAACATTTTGCACCTGAAAAACTTCAAAATTGAACTTATAAAACATTGGAAATTTGCCAAAAATGTCACTGAGACAGTTTTTACGTCACAGCTCCGTTAACACAGAATACATATCCTTACGGAGGATATGTGTTCTGTGTTCCGTGAGGATATGTGTTCTGTGTCCGTTAATTTTCATCTGATTCCAATGTAATTAGGCTCTAATTAAAGCCAATTAGGCTCTCCAAATCAAGTGATTTTTCAATATGGCGACTGTGGCAAATTTGACGTTTGTTTGTTTATCTTGAGTTAATTTGGAATATTTTTAAGCTAATTACAGTTTACTTCGTCATAATATACTTTTCGAGATGCAAAGTGAATATTTAAAGACTTAAATGCAGGAAAATCGGGATGTGGGCGAACGATAAGTTTGAAAAAATATCTATTTGACATTTGTTTCCATTTTGACCTAGTTTTTACAGCAATGAGCAAATGAAGGCCTACAAAAGCTTAGATTCTTACAAGTATTTCGAGTATGGTTTTATTTTAGATGCAGGAACAGTGGTACTGAATAATTTCTACGTTTTTATTGGAAAAATTTGAAAGGTTGGGCACTGAAAACAACCTGACATCATCCTTGTTGAAACGCCTTCTAAAATCAACTACAAGACACCTTTGTGGCATTTTTAATTAGAAAAAAGCCTTATGAAGTTGAAAATTAAAAAGCAAATAGGGTTTAGTCACAAAACAACCACACAATGCACTTTTAAAAGCTTTAAATTCTGTACTGTCATATACGGAATAAGGAACTTCCGCCCCGGTCGCCATTTTGGAATAGTTTTGACAGGTCGTTGGAATGCCTAATTGAATTCTCTATAAACCTGTTAATTAAGATTTTAATGTGGTTCCAATTAATCCAATTATTTATTTACCAGTTTATTAGTACAAATTATTTTTTTACTTACGTTACTACTACACCTTTTACAACGGTATTCAAGAAAGTATCACTTTAATTAAAGAAAGTATCATTTGTATTTAAGAATAAACATTTGTATTTCAGAAAAAGTCATATGTATTTTAGATTGAAGCAATTGTATTTTAGAAACACCAATATAAATTTTAGAAACAATCATTGGAATTAAGGAAACGATAAATTTAACTTTAGATTACATGTAGATTAGGTAAGTATGTATATACCTACAGAGATGGACATCTCTTGTCGCAAATTTGGCATAACAGGAAATTTTAAAGAAGCCGTTATAGATGTAGAGAAAAACTACATAATTCTAAACTACAATTGAAACTTTCTCAAATACATATAGTTTGATCTAAATACAAATGACGGTTTCCTAAGTTAACTTGGTAATTCAAAAATCTATTTGCTGCTTTCTTGAATTAATTCGGTTTCTCTAAACTACATTTGAAGCATTCCCAAATTTAAGCGGTTATTCCAAAATACTAATGATTTTTTCTTAAATATAATTATTTATTCCATTATTCATAATATGGAGATTGCTCAAATAGGAAATGACTATTTTAAAATACAATTGAAGGAAAAGTCCCTTCTGATTTTTAAGTTTTGTATTTAAGAATTGTTTGATTAATACCTATTAGTTGACTATTTTTTCTTGGGATTTTTTATTTTTTTTTAATATAGGAAGAAAATTTTGGATTGATATTTGGCATTGGCACTATGGTCTATGGTAGGAATGAGTTTTGTAAAAGTGGGTTTTTGTGTCAAAAATCCACTGGATTTTTGAAATGGGTTTTTGTATATAGGCTACTCTGATCCAAACATAGCACAAAGTACAGTGAAAGATTATTGTATATTTATGTTCTATTTTTTTGTCATCCATAAAATAAAATGTATACAGGGGGGTGTTTTTCTCAAAACTTACCACCCCTATTATCTCGGAGTTGAAAAATTTTGGAAAAAATCCCTGAATGCAAAATTCACCTTCCCCCTTTCAACCCTCCAGCACCTAGAGCCACTCCCTATAAAATCTTAAATAGGAAGGGGGATGGTAAGTTTTAAAATGAACACCCTGTATATTATTATTATTATTATTTTTAAATCGAGGAAAGGGCTAGGACGTAAATTTTGTTGATACAAAAGTAGAAGTTAACTTTATGACGTTTAGTTTAAAACTGAAACTGACAAATATAGGTAGGTAACTGGTAACTATCAGCATAATATACAGTGAACCATATCAAATTTGAGGGACATAATTTAGGTTGAACAGACTCGACATGGCCCTAGAAGGGATAAGTTGGCTACAACTGGACGTTTGTTTGACTTGCAGATAATTACAACTTAAAATAGTGGTGAGGACGCGCATAATCATGTCTAATACTAAGGCCCTTTTGCTCTTTTATGGTAAACCATCAGAATCAAGCAGAAATACCATCCAGAGAAAGTCTCCTATTGGGACGTACAACATGAAAATACATAAAGAATACATGACAATACAAAGGAATAGGTATTTAAGAATATATGGAATTATATCGGACTACATGAGGCTTGTACGCAGGAACACATTGGCGGTGCAGTGTGGGTTCCTAGTTCCGAAACAATGTGGTGCATCTTGCACCAGACATACAAAGGAAGTTTCGAGTTTTGAAAACAAGCAACAACGTGTCCACACTGATAAAAATAAAGGAACTTGAATAAACAAGCAAAAAAAAGTTCCAGAAACAAGCAACATATAAGCACAATGTTCCTGTTAGGTTGCTTTCGATATGGAAATAACTTTAGCTTTGCCCTTTTTTTGGTACATAAACCAATTTTAATCGAATCCTCATACCCATAACGTGTTTACAGTTCAAGTGTTTCAACAAATAAGGACAAGTGCATTTTGATTGACCAAAATCAGCATAATAGTAATAACCCAAATGTTATGATAGTATTTTTCAAAATCATCAAAAGTTTTCTATTTATTTTCCTTTTTTTTGACAGCAGAAACCAGCCAAGTGGTGATTTGTGACTAAACACTTGATTTTGAACATGTATAAAACAGTTTACATTAGCTTTGTTCCAACACAGCAGCACTGGAAACCGTACAATTCTGCGCAAAACCTAAAAGTGCGTAGAATTCGAAATCATCGCATAATGAGACGGTTTTTTGACGTGTTGAAAGCTCTGTTTCAATGTCTGTCTGTTCCAATGTTCATCTATATCGTATAAAGCTTTCTCATTTGATTGGTAGATGTCGAAGACATTCCACAAAAATGTTTCATTGCTTGGAAATCCAGGATCTCTCTCTCTTTTGACCATTTGGTTAGTAGATCTACTAAAACAGTATTTAAGAATTGGCCAGCTAGAAGTATTTCTCCCAGTGTGTGTTATTTACAGCATTTGTTGCTTCAAACAAGATTTAGAGCCAAATTACGGACCGCCTGGTAACGTCTTTGACAAATTTATCCTGCTGGTAAAACTAAAAATTGAATAAGGAACCATTTTTTTAGTTTTTAAATTGATTTCTCAAAACTTTTGGGTTTGATCTGTGCAAATAAAATTTGAATATCTTCAATATTAACAAAGTTACAAGAGTAAAAAGGCTAATACTATGTGACGTCATTTCGTAGTATCGCCATAAGCCGGTGCGAGTAAGACAGAGACGACAACATCATTTTTAAAAATTCATAAAAATTGTATCTTTGAATAGATTCGAGAAATTTGGCGAAAATGTCCTTAATCACATGTGTCTTTTCATTTTTATTTGATGAAATGTAATAATTGTTATTCCATGCAAGTTCCCTATTCAATTTTTAATTTTGCCATCAGGATAAATTTACCAATGACGTTACCAGTCGGCTTCAATAGTTTTACAGCTACAAAGTCTTTTGACTATGATTTTTCCCAAAATGGCACATTTTGCGTCACAACTTTGTTAATTTCAATCCGATCTTAACGGTATCAGGCTCCAATTGAAGCCAATTAAATTATCTACAAATCTCTTATGAATGATTTTACTGAAGCTATAATGGTTTTGCAGCTACAAAGTCTTTTGACTATGATTTTTCCCAAAATGACACATTTTGTCTCACAACAATAAAATTTTCTACAAATATCCTTTGAATGATTTCAGAGCGCGGAAGAAATATTTTGCATATTTGTTGTGTTGCTGTCGCACTATACTGCATAGTGTGCTGTAAAATACTACTTTCGACTTGAAATTAAAAAATTTGAACGCTTTCATTCCAGGTACCCGGCTTCAGTGTTCGTCGGCGATACCTTTTGCTACTTCTCCGGCATGACTTTTGCAGTAGTCGGAATCCTGGGCCACTTCAGCAAAACCACCCTGCTGTTCTTCATGCCCCAGGTGTTCAACTTCCTCTACTCTTCACCGCAACTGTTCAAGCTCGTCCCTTGCCCCAGACACCGACTACCCAAGTTCAACTCCCGCGAAAATTGCATGGAGCTCAGCACTACAACCTTCAGGTATTCGGAGTTGAATGTTTTAGGTAAATTGGTTTTGGGGGTTTTTAGGTTGTTTAAGTTGGTGCACTGGCAGGAGAAACAGGGAGTAGTTGTTACCAATAATTTTACTCTAATTAATTTGACATTGTTGTATTGCGGGCCAATGCACGAGGCCAAATTGACCTCAATTCTTTTGGCGATACAAGTTTTGAGTACTGGTTTAGCGTTTTTGATACGGTACCCTTTTGCTTCGGTATTTTACGATGTTCAATAATAGGGGTTGAAAAAATAAAATATTTTGTACATTATATAGGACACAAAAGTGAAATTTTTTAGCTGCAAAGTTCCTATTATATAGTTTTTAAATTGCCAAAAATTTTACACTGAATTTTGTTCTAAGTTGCACCAACAATTACTCCCAATCTCCAGTCCGCATTGAACCCAAAAAAAGTACTCTCTAGAATAGAATTTTAGTGCCTTTCAAAAACTTTGTTCCAACCGTTCTAGAACGGTAATTTCCAGTCGATCAATTCATTTGTCAAGTAAAATAAACGTTCAACTTATTGAAAAATAGCTGGGCAACTGGAAATTAGTGGTTCTAGAACGGTTGGAACAAACCTAAAACCAAATTAGGGTGTATGTTATAGACTTAATCAATTGTTACCAATATAGTTGTTTTTCCAAAAAAACCATTTTAGGATAATTTTTTTCCCAATAACAAGTCCTACAATAATTAGAAAAACAAGTTGTTGTTTATTAATAACAATAATATGACTGAATATAATAATAATATAATAAAGGTACAAGACACCGAAAATAAATTAACAATAATTGTATAAAGACCGCACTGAAATACAATACAAAATCACACCCCGTAAGGCTTGACAAGGTACTCGGAAAAGGCCTTCAATTTATCGCCCCCCCTAACTTCACTTTCCAGCAAAGGCAATTTAACCACATGGAAATCTTCTTCATACAAATCAGCTATTTGATCCAAATATTTATCTTGGATTTTAATCCTGGCATTACACATACGACACTTGTCTTCATCTTTTTGTTTGAAAACTAATTGATTGACTACAATATTGTGAGTATCTATTTTTACTTTAGTTAATTCTTGGACTAATCTTTCTGTTTCGTATAGGGATAGGAATTCTGCAATGCATACGCATACGAAGGTTGTTTGATCTGGATTTTTAAACTGTTCATTGACTTGTTTAATAACACTTAAAAGCTCGTCAATTTTTCCAGAAAAGTGATCTACATTTAAGTCAGCCATACCAAAAAGACCACTGAATTGGTTGAGCATTGGGGCAACTTTTTGCTTGATTTTCATTAGTTTGCCAAGGCCTTTTTCCACTACTTGGGGAAAAGATAGGAGCCTCAACGTATGTCCAGTGGGAGCAGTATCAAAAACCACTACAGAAAAATTCATGCTTTTTATTAGTTTCATTACTTCGGCGTAGGACATTGTTTCGTCTGTGCCTGGGAAGGCGTTGATTAATTCTTGGAGAATACCTTGAAAAAAAAATTATTAGTATGTTTTCTGCCATATGCCTAAAGCAAGGGGCAAACCCCCTAGGAATTCTTTGCTAAAAATGTCGGGAATTTGTAGGAATTTATGGGGAATTTGGGAGAATAATGAATACAGTTTTTGTAGGTTGATTACAAGATTTTTCATGTTGTTTTTTTCTACAGGAAAAATTTGAAATTTTGGGAAAATGAGCTTCTCACCTTCCTCTTTACATACAAAAAGTTTCAAAATATTCCCTTCACTAGTTTTCCAGGAAAACTTTGAAATGTGTGAGACTGTATTTTCAATTAATTCAATTATTGTAGGTTGATTTCCAAGATTTTTCATGTTGCTGTTTTTCACTGGAAAATTTTGAAATTTTGGGAAAATGAGCTTCTCACTTTCCTCTTTATATGTAAAAAGTTTGAGAATTTTCCCTTCACTAGTTTTCCAGGAAAACTTTGAAATGTGTGAGACTGTATTTTCAATTAATTCAGTTATTGTAGGTTGATTTCCAAGATTTTTCATGTTGCTGTTTTCCACTGGAAAATTTTGAAATTTTGGGAAAATTAGCTTCTCACCTTCCTCTCTACATACAAAAAGTTTCAAAATGTTCCCTTCACTAGTTTTCCAGGAAAATTTTCAAATGTGTGAGACTGTATTTTCAATTAATTCAGTTATTGTAGGTTGATTTCCAAGATTTTTCATGTTGCTGTTTTCCACTGGAAAATTTTGAAATTTTGGGAAAATGAGCTTCTCACCTTCCTCTTTACATGCAAAAAGTTTCAAAATTTTCTCTTCACTAGTTTTCGAGGAAAATTTTGAAATGTGTGAGACTGTATTTTCAATTAATTCAGTTATTGTAGGTTGATTTCCAAGATTTTTCATGTTGCTGTTTTCCACTGGAAAATTTTGAAATTTTGGGAAAATGAGCTTCTCACCTTCCTCTTTACATGCAAAAAGTTTCAAAATTTTCTCTTCACTAGTTTTCGAGGAAAATTTTGAAATGTGTGAGACTGTATTTTCAATTAATTCAGTTATTGTAGGTTGATTTCCAAGATTTTTCATGTTGCTGTTTTTCACTGGAAAATTTTGAAATTTTGGGAAAATGAGCTTCTCACCTTCCTCTTTACATGCAAAAAGTTTCAAAATTTTCTCTTCACTAGTTTTCGAGGAAAATTTTGAAATGTGTGAGACTGTATTTTCAATTAATTCAGTTATTGTAGGTTGATTTCCAAGATTTTTCATGTTGCTGTTTTTCACTGGAAAATTTTGAAATTTTGGGAAAATGAGCTTCTCACCTTCCTCTTTACATGCAAAAAGTTTCAAAATTTTCTCTTCACTAGTTTTCGAGGAAAATTTTGAAATGTGTGAGACTGTATTTTCAATTAATTCAGTTATTGTAGGTTGATTTCCAAGATTTTTCATGTTGCTGTTTTCCACTGGAAAATTTTGAAATTTTGGGAAAATGAGCTTCTCACCTTCCTCTTTACATGCAAAAAGTTTCAAAATTTTCTCTTCACTAGTTTTCGAGGAAAATTTTGAAATGTGTGAGACTGTATTTTCAATTAATTCAGTTATTGTAGGTTGATTTCCAAGATTTTTCATGTTGCTGTTTTTCACTGGAAAATTTTGAAATTTTGGGAAAATGAGCTTCTCACCTTCCTCTTTACATGCAAAAAGTTTCAAAATTTTCTCTTCACTAGTTTTCGAGGAAAATTTTGAAATGTGTGAGACTGTATTTTCAATTAATTCAGTTATTGTAGGTTGATTTCCAAGATTTTTCATGTTGCTGTTTTCCACTGGAAAATTTTGAAATTTTGGGAAAATTAGCTTCTCACCTTCCTCTCTACATACAAAAAGTTTCAAAATGTTCCCTTCACTAGTTTTCCAGGAAAACTTTGAAATGTGTGAGACTGTATTTTCAATTAATTCAGTTATTGTAGGTTGATTTCCAAGATTTTTCATGTTGCTGTTTTCCACTGGAAAATGTTGAAATTTTGGGAAAATGAACTTCTCACCTTCCTCTTTACAAGCAAAAAGTTTCGAAATTTTCCCTTCACTAGTTTTCCAGGAAAACTTTGAAATGTGTGAGACTGTATTTTCAATTAATTCAGTTATTGTAGGTTGATTTCCAAGATTTTTCATGTTGCTGTTTTCCACTGGAAAATTTTGAAATTTTGGGAAAATTAGCTTCTCACCTTCCTCTCTACATACAAAAAGTTTCAAAATGTTCCCTTCACTAGTTTTCCAGGAAAACTTTGAAATGTGTGAGACTGTATTTTCAACTAATTCAGTTTTTGTAGGTTGACTTCCAAGATTTTTCATGTTGCTGTTTTCCACTGGAAAATGTTGAAATTTTGGGAAAATGAGCTTCTCACCTTCCTCTTTACAAGCAAAAAGTTTCGAAATTTTCCCTTCATTAGTTTTCCAGGAAAACTTTGAAATGTGGGAGATTGTATTTTCAACTAATTCAGTTTGTGTAGGTTGATTTCCAAGATTTTTCATGTTGCTGTTTTCTACAGGAAAAATTTGAAATTTTGGGAAAATGAGCTTCTCACTTTCCTCTTTATATGTAAAAAGTTTGAAAATTTTCCCTTCACTAGTTTTCCAGGAAAACTTTGAAATGTGTGAGACTGTATTTTCAACTAATTCAGTTTTTGTAGGTTGATTACCAATATTCCTCATGTTGTTATTTTCCACTGGAAAAAATTGAAATTTTGGGAAAATGAGCTTGTCACCTTCCACTTTACATGCAAAAAAGTTTCAAAATTTCCCATTTTTTTAGAGGAATTTGTGGGGTATTTGGAGAAGTTCGTGTTGGGGTATTTGGAGGAATTTGTGATGGGGTATCTGGAGGAATTTGCAGAAATTTTGAGGAATTATGCGAAAAAAAATCCCCTTTGATGAATTGTTTGCACCAATTCTGGGATGGTGGTTTACCCCTTGGTTTTCTGCAATATGCCCAAAGTGTACAGTAATTGTTTTTATATCAGAATTGGCTGAATTTTGTATATACCTAAAGTAGATCACGTTACCACTGCACCAATCCTGAAAAATAACTCCTTTTTAAGTAAATTTGAGGGGTTTTTCACCTAATAAAATTTGTAAACTGATTAACAGTACTGACTGAGATATTTCCATGTATTAACAGATATTTCTATGTACCTAATAACAAGTTATTGCCAACTATTTCCATGTATTAACAAGATATTTCCACATATTGCCAAGTATTTCCCTAGTATTATGCCTGTATTACATCTGTGTATTTCTCCATGTATTTATTCATGTAGTTCAAGGTGACAACCGAAAAACTTCAAACGCAACATAAATTAGCATTATGAAAAACAAAATAATGTTGGCAGCCTGAACTACATGAATAAATACACGGAAAAATACACAGATGTAATACGGGCATTATCATATATTACCAGGTATTGCCATGCTATTGACAGACTAAAATCAAATATTTGTCTAGGTATTGACATATTCACAGGTATTTACATGATATCAATGGGTATGCACCAATGACATTAACATATATTGCCTAGATATCTACAAGTATTGACATATATTACCTACATAATTAACGAGTAGGTATTGCATAGTATTGACACTATTGACATAGTATTAACCTGGTATTGACATATATCAACCAGTGATTTGTACACCGATTAACAAGATGAAAAACCCCTCGAGGTAAGCTTGTGGTGCAATAGTAACTTTAACGTACATTACATACAAAATTCAGCTAATTCTGACATAATAAACACAATTTCCGTATACTTTGGACAAAATCCTTTATTTTTTGTACCTTTGCCTATTTTCATTGCATCAGGCTCGCCATCAAAATACTCCTCGGGTAATTCATTTATACCAACGTTAGGGTCGATTTCCATTGCGTACAAGTTGGAAAACCCCTTCACCAGGCCTGGTACTTTGGTGAATTTCTGATCAAAGGCATCAGAAATGTTATGAGCGGGATCAGTTGAAATTATCAGTACCGATTCGCGTACTTTTGATAGTTGAATGGCCAAACTACAGCTGAAATAGTAAATTAATAGAAGGGTGAGATGTTTAACAAGAATTCAATGCAAATTTGTGAGGCTTAAGCTGAAGCGTTCTAGAACCCAATCCAAGAGTTAGGAGGCTTAAGCTGAAATTATTGGCGAATTCTATTGGAAGAGTTAGTGCCCACTGAGTGTATTCGTGTCTTTTTCTACCAGCTTGTATAGGAAAGAGATGTAAAGACATTTGTTTTGCACTTGTCTCAATTTTTTGTCTATTACCGGCTCTTGAATCTTTTCTAAATTTCTCCAAATAAAGAAAACTCAAGAGCCTGTAATAAAAACTACATTTCCTAAAGTTGGCAACGCTGCTAATCGATGTCGATGTAACAACACGACAGTTTGACAAGTAACAAAGTAAGTTTTGGAAAATTTCAAAGTTTGAATTTGGCGCCTAAACTAGACACCTGTAATACCGACATGGCAATAGATATTTCCAAAGCCTACTAATAGCGAATTCTATTGGAAGCGTTAGTGCGCACTGAGGGTATTCATGTCTTTTTTTACCAGCCTATATAAAAAGAGATAAAAATACATTTCACTGGTTCTACTAATACAATTCACTATAATAATGAAAGGAGTAACAAGAACGCAATACAAGAGTTGGTATGCTTAAGCTGAAATTGATAGTGAATTCTATTGGAAGAGTTAATGCGCTCTGAGTGTATTCGTGTCTCTTTCTACTGACTTGTATAAGAAAGAAATAAAAATACATTACACTAGTTCTACCAATAGAATTCCCTATAATGAAAGGGAGTAACAAGAACCTAATACAAGAGTTGGTATGCTTAAGCTGAAAGTAATAAAACAATGAAATGTTAGAGTTGGAAGTCTTAAGCTGAAATTAGGAATCTTATCTCATAATATACAATAATATTGAAATTCCAAATTAAAACATGGAAAGTTATCGTACCTGCAAGTTGTTTTACCTACTCCGCCTTTGCCCCCAACGAAAATCCATTTCAAACTGGTCTGTTCTATTACGTTTTTAAGGGAAGGATCGAGTGGTTCGAAATCTGCCATTTTTCACGCGGTCGGGTACGTGTAACTTTTTAAATAATTGCGAAATGAGTAGTTAAAGCGATTTGTTTATGTTTTTGCCCCCTCCGCCTTGATGACTAGTCAAATAGTAAACATAACCTGGTTCTTTTTTAAGGGGGTTTTTTGTTTTTTCGGTGCAGTTCCGAATTGCTCCAATGTGTTCGTATTGCTCCAATTTATTCGTATTATAACAATCTAAGACTCTGGTGCATCTAATCTTCAAATCTGCTCGAGAACAATTAATAAAATGCAATTTTTGACCCAAAACGACTCATTTTCATTTGTCACTACTGCACTTATAAAACTGTTTCGGAACTATTTTTTGTTGTTCTGAATCACTAATTTGAACCAATTTTCAAAAGTTACGGTTCTAGTTCGACTGTGATTGGGTTCTGGCAAGTTCTTTTCTTTTACTCTAGGTCATTTAGAACAGGTATTGATTGAACTGCTAACAAATGCAGTGGAGCTATAAAATTTGGAATTCAGTGCTCCGTGAATGAGAACAGTTCCGAGCCGATAAGTGTATTTTTATAAAATATTCGGACCTCGTACAGAAAACAAAAAAGTAAACTATGGGGCAATATTTTATCACACAGAACAGGTAGAACTACTGCAGAATCAACCTGGAACTTATTCTAATTGAACTGTGAGCAAGCAATTACTTACGAGTCGATAAGTTTGATAAATTTCTGACTCGGACCTTGTGCAGAAAAAAAAAAACATGCTCTGGAACTTCAATCTATTGAACTGGTAAACACAAAAATCCACTCCAGAACCGCTAATATAACTAATTTTTTGCACGAGAGTTTTCCCAAAAAATATCTCTATTATACCTTAGAGGCGATTTCAATAATCTGCTACGATACTATTCGTGGATCACATTCCGAACTAGTTTGGAACCGATCAGGAATTGGGAGTGTTCAGGATTTTATTTCACCGCGTACATTTTCGAAACAAGTACCGAAAACTACTTGCGCTTGAAATTTGGAACTTACTCGGGACAGTATAATGTTGTTTGCGGGTCACTAAAAGCAAAACCCAAATTTTCAGTACAGTTCTTTGTTCGAGGTTCCGGATCTACTCTACTGAACTAGTTCTATTGGTTCTAGGAATATGTAGCATCCGCTTTAAATTAGTTCCGAACAGATTCGGAATGTGATCCAAGAACAAAACTACTGCTTTTAAATAGTTCTTGGTAAAATCCAATTCTAAACTGGATCATTTTTAACAAGAAAAACTATTGTTGGACAATAGAGAAGCCTTAGAGTTCTCATTTCCTGCTCCGGAATCGTTTTTGGTGCATGAAATCCTGAACTGGATTATATTTATTGGGTATTCTAGGACAATCCTAGCCTGGGTATTCTAGGACACTCCTAGCCATAAAGATTCAGAACTGATTCGGAACCAGATCTTTGCTCGAGATTCAAATAGAATCACTTCCGGATCGACTCCGAACCAGTTTGGCAACTGATTTCGGCCTATAATTTGGAATCAGTTTAACAAAAGAAAAAGGATTCTATTTCACCGGGAACATTTTCGGAACAAGAAATTTAGAACTTGGAACTTTCTCTTGCTCTTAGAGAACTTACTCTGAACTTTATATTCCCGGATCACTAAATTCTGAATTACAGTTTGTTGTTCGCGGTTCCGGATCTACTTTAATTCTATCAGTTCTAGGAATTTTAGATGTAGCTCTGCATTAGTTCCGAACAGATTCAGAATGTGATCTGCAAAAAAATTAGTTCCGTTCGCGATATAAATTCAGAACTAATTCGGAACCAGGTTTTTGTTCGACATTCAGTCTAAAATCAGTTCTGGATCGACCCCGAACCAGCTTGCAACTGATTTAGGATTACGAATTCGGATTCAGTTGCAAACCGATAAGTGTATTTCTTTATAAAGTATTCGGCCCTCGTACAGAAAAAAAAAACATGCTCTGGGGCAATAATCTATTGAAATGAGTTTCAAATAAAACACAAAAATCCACTCGAGAACCGCCAATGAAAAGTGATTTGCACCGAAACGGCGGTTTTTATTTGTATGTTGCTCCAACTGCACTAGTCGTTGCATGCAGTATCAAAATTATCTCAAAATCACAGTTCTCTTTCAGAACAAGAAAACTTCACTCCCGGTAAGAACTTACAACTGATTCAGAACCAGATTAGGTTGTTCGCGGATCACTAACCGATCAATCAAGTTCAGCTCTGAACCGGTTTTAGAAACTAAACGTTCCAGAAATGATCAGTTTCATGCGGCTATTTTTGCAAATGGCCGATAAAGAATTTCGAGTTCTCTTTTCTAGCCCCAGATCATTAGAACAGGTGATGATTGAAATTTAGTGTAATCTAAAGAATACTCTGATCTTGTACAGCAAAAAACATGCTTTGGAGTAATAATCTATTGAGCTGGTTTTGTAATAGAACACTGAAATCTACTCGAGAACCACTGAAACTTATAGCGTTTTCGACTTAGATAACTTACTCTGAACTTTATAATGTATTCGGATTGCCTAAATTTCGAATTTTGAGTTACAGTTCTTTGTTCCCGGTTCCGAATTTTCTCTAGTTCTATCGGTTCTAGGGATTTTGGATGTAACGCTCTGAATTAGTTCCGAACACTTTCGGAATGTGACCTGCAAAAAAATTAGTTTTATTGGCGACAAAGATTCAGAACCAATTCGGAACTAGTTCTTTGTTCAAGATTCAATAAAAATCAGTTCCAGATCGATTCTGAACTCGTTCTGTGGGTTCCAGAGTTTTACCAGAAACCTTGCGCTCGAGAAATGCGCAGTAACCTTTGAGTTCTCATTTCCTGTTCCAGAATCATTTCTGGTGCTATAAAATTCTGAACTGAATCATATTTATTAGGTATACTAGAGTTCTACTTTCATGACGTCAGGTTGCCTAGCAACCGTCATCATCGCCTGTACTGTACTCGATAAATAGGTTGCGAGTGACGTCATGAAAGCAGAATTCTACTCGTCGTGATCCCAACTGGATTAGTTTCAAATTGGTTCGGAATATGCTCCGCTAACGGATCATTAGAACAGGTAGCTCTACTCCACAATCGAATGAAAACCTATTCTAGCATTTCTCGCTGAACCAGGAACAATGCACCGTGATTAAAAACTCGAAAGTCAGTGATTCTGGGCAAAGATTTTGAGTTCTGAATCTTTATCGATAACTTTAGAGTTAATTTTTAAAGAGCTCTTGTACCAAAAAACGTGCACTGGGGCCGTAATTCATTGAACAGACATGATAAATCTGTTCTAGAACTGTGCAAGAAGTGAAATCCTGATATTTTTGGAAACGATTTCAGTTTTCCTGTTCGAACAATCAGGACAATCCAAATTGGTTTGGAATGGAATCTGGTAACGAATCCCTAGAACCAGAAAAACTAGTTCAGAATCGACCCGGAACCGATTCTAGTTGAACCGCGAACACAGAACAGTGCGTTCGGTATTTTGAAAAGTGTTCTCCGAGCATAAATTTACCGTTCGTTTATTTAAAAAGTGTACTCGGTGCAGACTCATTCATGTTCGTTTATAAAAATTTCGACCCCTCTGATACAGCGTTCAACTGCTCTGTGCGCTCGCTGGTCACGTGATTACGTTTCCGCTCTGCACGCTCTGCTCTTTGAGCGAAATACCGAACGCAAAATTTGAAGATATTTTGGAGTTTATAATGTTCTCGAATACATAAATTCCAAATTTTGAGTTACAGTTCTTTGTTCCCGGTTCCGGATCTACTCTAGTTCTATCAGTTCTAGGGATTTTAGATGAAGCGCTCTAAATTAGTTCCGAACAGATTCGGAATGTGATCCCCCAAAAAAATTAGTTTTGTTTGCGATATGGATTCAGAACTGATTCGGAGTCAGTGCACATGGAACAGTCAGAGTAGAATTACTATAAAAACCCAAAATTAATTATCAAATCAGCCGACTGTTATAGTGAATAAATTCATTATTTAGTAGCATATTAGAGTAGTTCGAACAGTGACAATCAGAGCAGTGCAAACAGAACAGAGTTAGTACACATGAAACAAAAAATAAAGCAATTGGAACACTTAGAGTAACTCGAACAATAGAAGGAATTCAAATAGAATTTATGCAAATAGAGTAATTTAAATCGAGTTAGTGCAAATTGAACAAAATTAGAACAGTTAAAGTAGTTCGGACAGTTAAACAGTTCAAAAAAAACGAGTGCACTTGGAACAGTTAGAACAGTTGAAACTAAAAACCCAAAAAAACTGTGCTCCAAGTACAAACGAAACGCCATTATCGCCCCAAAAAAAAAAGAAGAATTAAGCAAACGTCACCTTAACCAAACTTTTTTGTCAAAATAAAAGTAAACAAATAAAGTGGGCCCCCAAAATGCCCATTTACGAGCCCCTGAGCAGCGAAAAGCTGACAGTTGTCCTAGATATTGGAACAGCTTTTACAAAGTACCCAATTTCCATAGAAAAATTCAAAATTCTCAATAATATCTTTCAGATTCGGTTTCACAAGTGAATTCGCCCCAAGGTACATCATAAGGTCAGAAGTCCGATGCAAAAGAACCAACAAAATTCGTAAATTAAGCTCGTACGAGTCCCCGGAAGATTTACATGATTTGTTAGTTGATTTTATTCACGCAATTTATTTCAAGTTTGCCCTCATAAGCCCTAAAGACAGGCCAATTGTGATTGTCGAGTCACTTTTGTGTCCCACTTTGTTTAGGGAAACTTTAGCCAAGGTAATGAAGATAATATAATTTTCCTAAACTAGTGCGCAAAGTATTACTTTCCTGCACGCCAAAGCACTTATGTATAATGTAAAAAAGTACTACTGTGCACACACTCATAGGAAAACTACCTTGATTTCAGGTATTATTTCTTCAATATGAAGTTTCCTCGATCCTGGTATTGCCGTCTCATTTGGTAGCATTGGCAAGTTTGGCTGTAGATACAGCCATGGTGGTCGATGTAGGGTACAAAGAAGCCGTAGTCTTTCCGGTTTGTTTCGGGTTGCCCATAATACAAGCATGGCAAGCCTTGCCCTTGGGAGGAGAAGCGGTTCATAAGTACGTATTGCTCTTTGTTTAATTTTGTTATCTATTCCAGGCTGAATTTTTCAAAATGACATTAACATACATTTTGCCTCATAACTTTGTCAATTTCAATCTGATCTTAACGAAATTATCACCAAAATAAAGCTGATTGAATTGTCTACAAATTTCTTCCAAGAAGTTTCAATGCAGCTTCAATAGTTTCGCAGCTATAAAGCTTCAAAGTCTTAAAACGTCTTACAATATAATTTTTTGAAAATTTCAAAATGACATTGACATACATTTTGCCTCATAACTTTGTCAATTTCAATCCGATCTTAACGAAATTAAGACCAAAATAAAGCTGATTGAATTGTCTACAAATCTCTTTTAAGAAGTTTTAATGCAGCTTCAATAGTTTCGCAGCTATAAAGCTTCAAATTCTTAAAACGTCTTACAATGTAATTTTTTGAAAATTTCAAAATGACATTGACATACATTTTGCCTCATAACTTTGTCAATTTGAATCCGATCTTAACGAAATTAGGCCCAAAATAAAGCTGATTGAATTGTCTACAAATCTCTTCTGAGAAGTTTTAATGCAGCTTCAATAGTTTCGCAACTATAAAGCTTCAAAGTCTTAAAACGTCCCACAATGTAATTTTTTGAAAATTTCAAAATGACATTGACATACATTTTGCCTCATAACTTTGTCAATTTGAATCCGATCTTAACGAAATTAGGCCCAAAATAAAGCTGATTGAATTGTCTACAAATCTCTTCTAAGAAGTTTTAATGCAGCTTCAATAGTTTCGCAGCTATAAAGCTTCAAAGTCTTAAAACGTCCCACAATGTAATTTTTTGAAAATTTCAAAATGACATTGACAAACATTTTGCCTCATAACTTTGTCAATTTCAATCCGATCTTAACGAAATTAGGCCCAAAATAAAGCTGATTGAATTGTCTACAGATCTCTTCTAAGAAGTTTTAATACAGCTTCAATAGTTTCGCAACTATAAAGCTTCAAAGTCTTAAAACGTCCCACAATGTAATTTTTTGAAAATTTCAAAATGACATTGACATACATTTTGCCTCATAACTTTGTCAATTTCAATCTGATCTTAACGAAATTATCACCAAAATAAAGCTGATTGAATTGTCTACAAATTTCTTCCAAGAAGTTTTAATGCAGCTTCAATAGTTTCGCAACTATAAAGCTTCAAAGTCTTAAAACGTCCCACAATGTAATTTTTTGAAAATTTCAAAATGACATTGACAAACATTTTGCCTCATAACTTTGTCAATTTCAATCCGATCTTAACGAAATTAGGCCCAAAATAAAGCTGATTGAATTGTCTACAGATCTCTTCTAAGAAGTTTTAATGCAGCTTCAATAGTTTCGCAACTATAAAGCTTCAAAGTCTTAAAACGTCCCACAATGTAATTTTTTGAAAATTTCAAAATGACATTGACATACATTTTGCCTCATAACTTTGTCAATTTGAATCCGATCTTAACGAAATTAGGCCCAAAATAAAGCTGATTGAATTGTCTACAAATCTCTTCTAAGAAGTTTTAATGCAGCTTCAATAGTTTCGCAGCTATAAAGCTTCAAAGTCTTAAAACGTCCCACAATGTAATTTTTTGAAAATTTCAAAATGACATTGACATACATTTTGCCGCATAACGTTGTCAATTTCAATCCGATCTTAACGAAATTAGGCCCAAAATAAAGCTGATTGAATTGTCTACAAATCTCTTCTAAGAAGTTTTAGTGCAGCTTCAATAGTTTCGCAGCTATAAAGCTTCAAATTCTTAAAACGTCTTGCAATGTAATTTTTTGAAAATTTCAAAATGACATTGACATACATTTTGCCTCATAACTTTGTCAATTTCAATCCGATCTTAACGAAATTAGGACCAAAATAAAGCTGATTGAATTGTCTACAAATCTCTTCTAAGAAGTTTTAATGCAGCTTCAATAGTTTCGCAGCTATAAAGCTTCAAAGTCGTAAAACGTCTTACAATGTAATTTTTTGAAAATTTCAAAATGACATTGACATACATTTTGCCTCATAACTTTGTCAATTTTAATCCGATCTTAACGAAATTAGGCCCAAAATAAAGCTGATTGAATTGTCTACAAATCTCTTCTAAGAAGTTTTAATGCAGCTTCAATAGTTTCGCAGCTATAAAGCTTCAAATTCTTAAAACGTCTTACAATGTAATTTTTTGAAAATTTCAAAATGACATTGACATACATTTTGCCTCATAACTTTGTCAATTTCAATCCGATCTTAAGGAAATTAGAACCAAAATAAAGCTGATTGAATTGTCTACAAATTTCTTCCAAGAAGTTTCAATGCAGCTTCAATAGTTTCGCAGCTATAAAGCTTCAAAGTCTTAAAACTTCCCATAATATAATTTTTTGAAAATTTCAAAATCACATTGACATACATTTTGCCTCATAACTTTGTCAATTTCAATCCGATCTTAACGAAATTAGGCCCAAAATAAAGCTGATTGATTGTCTACAAATCTCTTCTAAGAAGTTTTAATGCAGCTTCAATAGTTTCGCAACTATAAAGCTTCAAAGTCTTAAAACGTCCCACAATGTAATTTTTTTAAAATTTCAAAATGACATTGACATACATTTTGCCGCATAACGTTGTCAATTTCAATCCGATCTTAACGAAATTAGGCCCAAAATAAATCTGATTGAATTGTCTACAAATCTCTTCTAGGAAGTTTTAATGCAGCTTCAATAGTTTCGCAGCTATAAAGCTTCAAAGTCTTAAAACGTCCCACAATGTAATTTTTTGAAAATTTCAAAATGACATTGACATACATTTTGCCACATAACTTTGTCAATTTCAATCCGATCTTAACGAAATTAGGCCCAAAATAAAGCTGATTGAATTGTCTACAAATCTCTTCTAAGAAGTTTTAATGCAGCTTCAATAGTTTCGCAGCTATAAAGCTTCAAATTCTTAAAACGTCTTACAATGTAATTTTTTGAAAATTTCAAAATGACATTGACATACATTTTGCCTCATAACTTTGTCAATTTCAATCCGATCTTAACGAAATTAGGACCAAAATAAAGCTGATTGAATTGTCTACAAATCTCTTCTAAGAAGTTTTAATGCAGCTTCAATAGTTTCGCAGCTATAAAGCTTCAAAGTCGTAAAACGTCTTACAATGTAATTTTTTGAAAATTTCAAAATGACATTGACATACATTTTGCCTCATAACTTTGTCAATTTGAATCCGATCTTAACGAAATTAGGCCCAAAATAAAGCTGATTGAATTGTCTACAAATCTCTTCTAAGAAGTTTTAATGCAGCTTCAATAGTTTCGCAGCTATAAAGCTTCAAAGTCGTAAAACGTCTTACAATGTAATTTTTTGAAAATTTCAAAATGACATTGACATACATTTTGCCTCATAACTTTGTCAATTTGAATCCGATCTTAACGAAATTAGGCCCAAAATAAAGCTGATTGAATTGTCTACAAATCTCTTCTAAGAAGTTTTAATGCAGCTTCAATAGTTTCGCAGCTATAAAGCTTCAAAGTCTTAAAACGTCCCACAATGTAATTTTTTGAAAATTTCAAAATGACATTGACATACATTTTGCCGCATAACGTTGTCAATTTCAATCCGATCTTAACGAAATTAGGCCCAAAATAAAGCTGATTGAATTGTCTACAAATCTCTTCTGAGAAGTTTTAATGCAGCTTCAATAGTTTCGCAACTATAAAGCTTCAAAGTCTTAAAACGTCCCACAATGTAATTTTTTGAAAATTTCAAAATGACATTGACATACATTTTGCCTCATAACTTTGTCAATTTGAATCCGATCTTAACGAAATTAGGACCAAAATAAAGCTGATTGAATTGTCTACAAATCTCTTCTAAGAAGTTTTAATGCAGCTTCAATAGTTTCGCAGCTATAAAGCTTCAAAGTCGTAAAACGTCTTACAATGTAATTTTTTGAAAATTTCAAAATGACATTGACATACATTTTGCCTCATAACTTTGTCAATTTTAATCCGATCTTAACGAAATTAGGCCCAAAATAAAGCTGATTGAATTGTCTACAAATCTCTTCTAAGAAGTTTTAATGCAGCTTCAATAGTTTCGCAGCTATAAAGCTTCAAATTCTTAAAACGTCTTACAATGTAATTTTTTGAAAATTTCAAAATGACATTGACATACATTTTGCCTCATAACTTTGTCAATTTCAATCCGATCTTAAGGAAATTAGAACCAAAATAAAGCTGATTGAATTGTCTACAAATTTCTTCCAAGAAGTTTCAATGCAGCTTCAATAGTTTCGCAGCTATAAAGCTTCAAAGTCTTAAAACTTCCCATAATATAATTTTTTGAAAATTTCAAAATCACATTGACATACATTTTGCCTCATAACTTTGTCAATTTCAATCCGATCTTAACGAAATTAGGCCCAAAATAAAGCTGATTGATTGTCTACAAATCTCTTCTAAGAAGTTTTAATGCAGCTTCAATAGTTTCGCAACTATAAAGCTTCAAAGTCTTAAAACGTCCCACAATGTAATTTTTTTAAAATTTCAAAATGACATTGACATACATTTTGCCGCATAACGTTGTCAATTTCAATCCGATCTTAACGAAATTAGGCCCAAAATAAAGCTGATTGAATTGTCTACAAATCTCTTCTAAGAAGTTTTAATGCAGCTTCAATAGTTTCGCAGCTATAAAGCTTCAAATTCTTAAAACGTCTTACAATGTAATTTTTTGAAAATTTCAAAATGACATTGACATACATTTTGCCTCATAACTTTGTCAATTTCAATCCGATCTTAACGAAATTAGGACCAAAATAAAGCTGATTGAATTGTCTACAAATCTCTTCTAAGAAGTTTTAATGCAGCTTCAATAGTTTCGCAGCTATAAAGCTTCAAAGTCGTAAAACGTCTTACAATGTAATTTTTTGAAAATTTCAAAATGACATTGACATACATTTTGCCTCATAACTTTGTCAATTTGAATCCGATCTTAACGAAATTAGGCCCAAAATAAAGCTGATTGAATTGTCTACAAATCTCTTCTAAGAAGTTTTAATGCAGCTTCAATAGTTTCGCAGCTATAAAGCTTCAAAGTCTTAAAACGTCCCACAATGTAATTTTTTGAAAATTTCAAAATGACATTGACATACATTTTGCCGCATAACGTTGTCAATTTCAATCCGATCTTAACGAAATTAGGCCCAAAATAAAGCTGATTGAATTGTCTACAAATCTCTTCTAGGAAGTTTTAATGCAGCTTCAATAGTTTCGCAGCTATAAAGCTTCAAAATCTTAAAACGTCCCACAATGTAATTTTTTGAAAATTTCAAAATGACATTGACATACATTTTGCCTCATAACTTTGTCAATTTCAATCCGATCTTAACGAAATTAGGACCAAAATAAAGCTGATTGAATTGTCTTCAAATCTCTTCTAAGAAGTTTTAATGCAGCTTCAATAGTTTCGCATCTATAAAGCTTCAAATTCTTAAAACGTCCCACAATGTAATTTTTTGAAAATTTCAAAATGACATTGACATACATTTTGCCACATAACTTTGTCAATTTCAATCCGATCTTAACGAAATTAGGCCCAAAATAAAGCTGATTGAATTGTCTACAAATCTCTTCTAAGAAGTTTTAATGCAGCTTCAATAGTTTCGCAGCTATAAAGCTTCAAATTCTTAAAACGTCTTACAATGTAATTTTTTGAAAATTTCAAAATGACATTGACATACATTTTGCCTCATAACTTTGTCAATTTCAATCCGATCTTAACGAAATTAGGACCAAAATAAAGCTGATTGAATTGTCTACAAATCTCTTCTAAGAAGTTTTAATGCAGCTTCAATAGTTTCGCAGCTATAAAGCTTCAAAGTCGTAAAACGTCTTACAATGTAATTTTTTGAAAATTTCAAAATGACATTGACATACATTTTGCCTCATAACTTTGTCAATTTTAATCCGATCTTAACGAAATTAGGCCCAAAATAAAGCTGAATGAATTGTCTACAAATCTCTTCTAAGAAGTTTTAGTGCAGCTTCAATAGTTTCGCAGCTATAAAGCTTCAAATTCTTAAAACGTCTTGCAATGTAATTTTTTGAAAATTTCAAAATGACATTGACATACATTTTGCCTCATAACTTTGTCAATTTCAATCCGATCTTAACTAAATTAGGACCAAAATAAAGCTGATTGAATTGTCTACAAATCTCTTCTAAGAAGTTTTAATGCAGCTTCAATAGTTTCGCAGCTATAAAGCTTCAAAGTCTTAAAACGTCCCACAATGTAATTTTTTGAAAATTTCAAAATGACATTGACATACATTTTGCCGCATAACGTTGTCAATTTCAATCCGATCTTAACGAAATTAGGCCCAAAATAAAGCTGATTGAATTGTCTACAAATCTCTTCTGAGAAGTTTTAATGCAGCTTCAATAGTTTCGCAACTATAAAGCTTCAAAGTCTTAAAACGTCCCACAATGTAATTTTTTGAAAATTTCAAAATGACATTGACATACATTTTGCCTCATAACTTTGTCAATTTCAATCCGATCTTAACGAAATTAGGACCAAAATAAAGCTGATTGAATTGTCTACAAATCTCTTCTAAGAAGTTTTAATGCAGCTTCAATAGTTTCGCAGCTATAAAGCTTCAAAGTCGTAAAACGTCTTACAATGTAATTTTTTGAAAATTTCAAAATGACATTGACATACATTTTGCCTCATAACTTTGTCAATTTTAATCCGATCTTAACGAAATTAGGCCCAAAATAAAGCTGATTGAATTGTCTACAAATCTCTTCTAAGAAGTTTTAATGCAGCTTCAATAGTTTCGCAGCTATAAAGCTTCAAAGTCGTAAAACGTCTTACAATGTAATTTTTTGAAAATTTCAAAATGACATTGACATACATTTTGCCTCATAACTTTGTCGATTTTAATCCGATCTTAACGAAATTAGGCCCAAAATAAAGCTGATTGAATTGTCTACAAATCTCTTCTAAGAAGTTTTAATGCAGCTTCAATAGTTTCGCAGCTATAAAGCTTCAAAGTCTTAAAACGTCCCACAATGTAATTTTTTGAAAATTTCAAAATGACATTGACATACATTTTGCCTCATAACTTTGTCAATTTCAATCCGATCTTAACAAAATTAGGCCCAAAATAAAGCTAATTAAATTGTTTCTTAAAAGAAATAAGTCAAGAGCCTGGAATAGCAAAATATTTTTTTAAAAAAAAAACACCCTTTTAGCCATCTAAAATCCTTGCTGAGCAATGCGAACCCGGGCCTCCAAAACCTCCCCGAACAAATCCTGGAAGACATCAAAGTCCGTTGTTGCTTTGTCACCAAAAAATCCAGAACCAAATCCGCGGACATTGTTCCGCCTCCGGACGTCAAATATCCCTATAAAGGAGCCCAAACTCTTACCGTAACCGGAAAAGTACGAGAAACTGCTTTTGAAGTTTTATACGAAGAGGACAACGACCACTTGTGTTTGTCCACAATGATTTTGGATGCTCTTCTGAAGGTTGATATTAATTTGAGGCACAGTTTGACTCAGAATGTGTTTTTGATTGGGGGTACTACCATGACAATTGGTAAATAATTATTTTATTTATTATACAGGGTGTCCTTGTTCAACTAGTTAAAAATGCTAGGGAAACTATTGAGGGGCAAACCACCTAGGAATTCTTTACCAAAAATTTGAGGAATTTTTGTGGGAAATTTGTAGGAACTCATCCGAATTTATGTGAATTTGGGCAGTTTTTGTACATTGATTTCCAAGATTTTTCATGTTACTGTTTTCCACTGGAAAAATTTGAAATTTTGGGAAAATGAGCGTCTCACCTTCCTCTCTACATGCAAAAAGGTTTCAAAATTTTCCCCTCACTAGTTTTCCAGGAAAACTTTGAAATGTGTGAGACTGTATTTTCAACTAAAGTTTTTGTAGGTTGAAATCCAAGATTTATCATATTGCTGTTTTCTACTGGAAAAATTTGAAATTTTGGGAAAATGAGCGTCTCAACCTCCTTTTTACATGCAAAAAGTTTCAAAATTTTCCCTTCTCTAGTTTTCCAGGAAAACTTCGAAATGTGTGAGACTGTATTTTCAACTAATTCAGTTTTTGTAGGTTGATTTCCAATATTCCTTATGCTGTTATTTTCCACTGGGTAAATTTAAAATGTTGGGAAAATGAGCGACTCACCTTCCTCTTTACATGCAGAAAGTTTCAAAATTTTCCCTTTTTTAGAGGAATTTGTGGGGTATTTGGAGGAATTTGTGATGGGGTATGGTACGCCACTGACCATTGGTATCCTATCTCAAACTACTTCTCTATGGTTCCTCTATATACCCTAGCATTTTTAACCAGTTGAACAAGGACACCCTGTATATTATATAATATATTTTTTTAAGGCTTCAAGGCAAGATTGAAGGAAGAATTATTGAGCCAACTTAAAAATGAACAATACAAAATGCTGAATATCAAGGAATTTAAATTTCATGTGGCTCCTTGCAAGGAAAATTACGCTTCTTGGCTAGGAGGTACCTAATGGCCATTTCCACCAACTATTTTAGGGATGTCTTAACGATAAGTATTCCCTAAACTGACATTTCTCCATGGAAAACTGTCAGTTTAGAGAATACTTATCGTTAAGGCTTCCCTAAAATAGTTGGTGGAAACGGCCATAAGTCCAATTAGGCACTACTGACCAAGGATAACACACACTACTACTAAAGGATAAAGCCTGTGTGTGTGCAAAAAATCCCTCCCTTGCCAAATTACCAGTTCTCGCCTTGACAAAAACTAAGCCGATAAGCAATCCTTAGTAGTGTGTATTATCCTTGCTATTTATACACACCAAGACCCTAACCTGTCACCAATCACATAAGGTGACTTTTGATAGGGGGACAAACATGGCATTGTGGTTATGTGTGTGACGTCAGCCAGTACCTAATTAACAAAAAATTAATTAATTAAGAATTGTTTTCAATTAGGTTCCATTTATGGTGCAACGGAATTTTTGAACCTAAAAGCAGTTACCAAGGATTTCTATTTACGAGAAAAGCATTTACCCGATTGGATTAATTTAAAGGACGTTGTTGGTCTAAAACAGGATAATGGAATAAGGGGGGCTTTTTAATTTTTTTCAGTTATATTTATTAATTAAACATCTAACATCTACTCCAATTATTGTATAATTCAGACATCGTATCCTACAATGTGACGTTTTCCGATGCACTCGCCCACATAGAACCAGCACCAGATCTGTAATTTTCCAAGGTATAAAAATTAATTTATATTATCTATTATCTATTCACAATCCGATGTCCAAAGGTAAAGGTAAAATTTATCACCTTTCAGTGCTATTTGATAGGGAAAGGTGATAAATTTACCTTCACCTTTGGACTATGGATTGTGAATAGGATATATTCAATCCTTAGAGCAGGTAAAGGTGAAGAGAAATAGTAACATGGAAAATGAAGCCGCTTTTTTTCCAGGTATATTGGCACCAAAAAAATGGCGGTATAGGCAATTCAATGCTTTACCTGGTAGTTTCATAAGCCGAATGGTGCGTTTCTACTCCTAATGTCCGTAGGACAGCGCTTTACCTGCTCTAAGTCACAATCAGTAGTCCAAAGGTACAGGTAAATTTTTCAACTTTCAATGCTATTTAATAGGGAAAGGTGATAAATTTACCTGTACCTACGGACTACAGATTGTGAATAGGATAATTAACATATACCTTACCTCAATGGCAATTAAAGAATTGACAAATCCGTCGCGGACTGTGACGTTTTTCCAGTTGCCGTTTTTGGCTCCGCTCAGTAATCTACCGATTCCGGCACGGATTTGGGGGATGTCGGCCGGAGTAGGGGGTGTCAGTTCCACTTTGGCGTATTTCAGGAAAGTGTTCAGACGGGGTTTGGCTTCGGCCAGGAGTCCTAGAAAAAAAAAAATAAGTAAGGGGGCTTCAATGATTAGAAAATTGAGGTTAGAAGTTACATAATCACTTTGGGGATTTGATTTTTTTGGGGGGTTGGTTTTAGTTAGGAGGTACTTACTGCCGGCCAAGACTGGTACTTTTTGGGCTAATTGGGACATTTTTTTGAGGGTTTTTTAGCTGATTTTATTAGAAAATTTGAGGAAATTAATGGAAAAACTCTCTGACCTCCTCAAATGTCAAAATTAATTGTCAAATTCATATGATATAAAAATCTTCTTTTTTTCAATTTATTTGGTAGCAAAGTCATATGTTCCGAACCAACCTTAGAACACATCAAACATGTTAGAGTAGCTCTACATTGTGACACTAACCTTAAAAAGGGTTCTAGCCTAAGAAGGCAAAACATACTCTAGAGTAGTTTCTAGAAAATTTTGTGTTCAAAGAATTACTGCCTTAGTGCTCGTTTTTTAGTACAAAGTACTCTAAAGTTATTGATAAGGATTTAAAACTCGCAGAGTATCGGGAACCAGTTCAGGATTTTATTTTAATAAAATTAATTCCAGAACAGGAAATGACAACTCGAAGGTTTACGCATTTCTCGAACTCTAGTTTCTGGTAAAACTCTAGAACCCACAGAACCAGAACTGATTCTTGTTGAATCTCGAACAAAGAACTGGTTCCGAATCAGTTTTGAATCTATATCGCGAACGAAACTAATTTTTTGGTGAATCAAATTCCAAACCTGTTCGAAACTAATTCAGAATGTAAATCAAAATGCGGAATTTAGTGATCCGAGAACATTATAAAGTTCGGAGTGAGTTTTTTAAGCGCAAGAGAAAGTTCCAAGCTATAAATTTCTTGTTCCCAGTGAAATAGAATCCTTGTTCTTTTCACGAACTGATACCAAATTTGTAATCCTTAATCAGTTACAAACTGGTTCGGAGTCGATCCGGAACTGATTCTAGTTGAATCTCGAACAAAGAACTGGTTCTGAATCATCGCGATCGAAACTAATTTTTTTGTGGATCACATTCCGAATCTGTTGGGAACTAATTCAGAGCACTACATCTAAAATCCCTAGAACCTATAAAACTAGAGAAGATCCGGAACCGGGAACAAAGAGCTGTAACTCAAAATTCAGAATTTAGTGATCCGGAAACATAATAAAGTTCAAAATAACTTCTAAATTTAATGCAAGAACAAATCTTCGAGTTCACATTTCCTGCTCCGGAATCGGTTTCGGTACAATAAAATCTTGAACTGGATCACATTTTTTAAGCTTTCTGAGACAATCCTGGATTAGTTCGAAATGTGCTCCGTTAATGGATCATTAACACAGATAGAACTACTCCAAAAATCGAATCGGAACCTATTCTAGTTGAGCCGCAAACATTGAACTGTAATTAAAAATTGGAAAGTTAATGATTCTGAATTCATAAAAAGTTACTCACAAGTTATCGATACGGATTTAGGCACTCACGACTCGCTAACTTTTGAATTTTCAAGTACTGTTCTGTGTTCGCGGTTCAACTAGAATCGGTTCCGGGTCGATTCTGAACTAAATTTCACTGGTTCTAGGGATTCGTTAGCCGATTTCATTCCGAATCAATTTGGATTGTCCTGATTATTAGAACAGGAAAAATGAAACTGTTTCCAAAAATATCACGATTTTTCTTTTTGCACTAGTTCAAAAATTAGTTTCTATTAGTAGTTCTAGAACAGTTCTATTATTTCTGTATAATGAATTACGATTTCAGTGCACATTTTTTGGTAGAAGTGCACGGACTTTAGATTTTTTAACAACAATTATCTTTATTAGCGATTCTACTAAAATTGATTCCGAACTAATTTCAGAGTAGTTCTACTTGTTCTTATAGCCCGTTAGCGGAACTAATGCAAGATCGACGTAGATATTCCGAATCGTTTTTGGAGTAGTTCTACCTATTCTATTATTAGTAGAGCACCTTCCGAACCAATTTGGAACTAATCCGATTGTCCCTAGAATGCTTAATAAACATAATCCAGTTCAGTATTTTATCACATCAAAAACGATTCCGGAGCAGGAAATGAAAACTCGAAGGCTTCTATTGCCCAACAATAGCTTTTATGAATATCATATCATTGTTATAACTCTGAAACCAATAGGCTTGGTTCAAATTCTATCTGGAACCGACTCCAATTGAACCTGGAACAAAGAAATGTTATTAAAAATTCCAAAATAAGTGATTCAGAGTTCTAAATTCTTGAGAGTAACTTTTTAAGGATTCAGAAGTCCGGATTTTTAATCACAGTTCAATGTTTACGGTTCAACTAGAAAAAACTCCGAACCGATTTTTGGAGTAGTTCCGCCTGTTCTAATATTCTATTAGCAGAGCACATTGCGAACCAATTTGGACTATTCTAAGATTGTTCTAGAATGCATATTGATCCAGTTTATGATTTTATTGCACCAGAAATGATTCCGGAACAGGAAAAGAGAACTTGAAAGCTACTGCGCATTTCCTCAATTCAGGTTTCTGTTCGGAACTAGTTCTCTAGAACCGATAAAACTAGAGTAGATTCGCAACCGGGAACAAAGAACTGTAACTAAAAATTCAGAATTTAGTGATCCGGGAACATTATAAAGTTCAGAGTAAGTTCTCTAAGCGCAAGTTATAAATATCTTGTTCCAAAAATGTTCCCGGTGAAATAGAATCCTTTTTCTTTTCCTAAACTGATTCCAAATTCGTAATCCTAAATCAGTTGCAATCTGTTTTGGAGTCGATCCGGAACTGATTCTATTTGAATTTCGAGCAAAGAACTGGTTCTGAATCTATATCGCCAACGAAACTAATTTTTTTGCGGATCACATTCCGAATCTGTCGGAACTAATTCAGAGTGCTACATCTAAAATTCCTAGAACCAATAGAACTAGAGGCTACTAGAGCAGATCAGCAACCGGGAACAAAGAACTGTAACTCAAAATTAGCAATTTAGTGATCCGGGAACATTATAAAGTTCGGAGTAGAGTTCTCTAAGCGCAAGAAGTTTCAAATTTGTTGTTCCGAAAATTTTCCCAGTAATCTAGAATCCTTTTTGTTTTCCTAAACTGATTCCAAATTCGTAATCCTAAATCAGTTGCAAACTGGTTCCGAGTCAATCCGGAACTGATTTTATTTGAATCTCGAACAAAGAACTGGTTTCGAATCAGTTCGAACCTTATGGATCCGCAAACATTCGGAGTAAATTCTAAATTTTAAGCGCGACTAGAAGAAAAATCCATTTATCGATTCGGAACCATTTCCTTCCACGAAGCACTAGATTACAAATTTCAGAACTACGTTTTTTTGCTCGCAGTTCAATTAAAATAAGTTCCGGGTTGATTGTGAAGTGGTTCTAGCTGTTCTAATTAATGATCTCGAGCAAGAATAGAGAACTCAAGCCAAAAAAATTGTATAAAATCAACCGCATGAACTTGAACTTATAATTCCTAGAACCGGTTCGGAGCCCAATTAGAACAGTAACTTTTAAAAATTGTTCTGAATCATGATTTTGAGTTAATTTTGAAACTGCGTGGAATATGCAATAAATAAATAAAACCGTACCGCTTTGGTGCAAAAATCATTTTTCATTTGCGGTTCTCGAGTGAATTTTTGTGTTCTATTTGAAAACCAATTCAATAGATTATTGCCCCAAAGCATGTTTTTTTCTGTCCTAGGTCTGAGTACTCTATAGAAATACACTTATCGGTTCGGAACTGTTCCCATTCACGGAGCTACACTGAATTTTTTTTGCAGTTCAATACGGTTTGATTCCGAAGTAATTCTACATGTTCTCATGATCTGTAAGTAAGAGAAGAGACCCGATTCACAATCGAGCTAGAACCATAACTTTTGAAAATTGTTTTAAATTTAGTGATTCGCGAACAACAAAATATGGTTCTGAATCAATTCTAAAAGGGCAGTAGTGAGAAGAGACAAATGAAAAGGAGCCGTTTTGGGCCAAAAATTTTGTTTTATTGATTGTTCCAAATGAACTAAACAGATTCCGAATTTCGAACAAAGAAGTGGTTCCGAACCCGTTCTGAATCTATATTACGAACAAAACTAATTTATTTGCGGATGACATTCCGAACCTGTTCGGAACTAATTTAGAGCGCTACATCTAAAATTCTTAGTACCGATAGAACTAGAGTAGATCCGGAACCGGGAACAAAAAACTGTAACTAAAATTTCGGAATTTAGTGATCCGGGAAAGTTCAGAGTCAGTTCTCTAAGCGCAATAAAAAGTTCTAAGTTTTAAATTTCTTGTTCCGAAAATGTTCCCGGTGAAATAGAATCATTTTTCTTTTCCTAAACTGATGCGGATCACTTTACAAAAGTGTTTGGAACTGATTCAAAGTACTACATCAAAAATCCCTTGAACCGATAGAGGGCGCGTTTCGGTTCACGCTCGGTGTACTCAGAGTTTGCACTTTTGTCTCTCTTCCGTTATTTTTGAAGCTCCGACAACGCTTGGTTTAACATATTTTGAGCGCTCCGAGCGAGCTCGATAAACTCCGAATTTGTGGAGTGGGCAGCTAGAGCGTGCATGCGCGAACTGTATTTAATCTGTTTGTATAAACTCGCGGTGGAACTGGTTCGATCCGGTTCGATTACGAACCTGTACATTCTTGCGTTGAACCAGTGACGTCACATTGAACCTGGTTCATAAAAGTTCGAACCGGACTTATGGCTTGGTCTCCGTTGACATAAGACTGTGGTTGAATCCTCCCATTTTCTCGCGTTTACAAGTGATGACGTCATCTACAAATTGGTTTAAACTGTGGTTCGAACCATTCGCTCCGTGAGAAAACGCCTCTATTTCCCATGATAACTATATTTTATGTAAATTATAATCTGCTGATCGCTCAACGCAGCACCTTTTTACGAGTCTATTTGGCTTAACACAGTGTACACCCTGTGACGTCAAGTTACTCCAAAACCGCTCTGCTCACTTCGCCGGGCGTCAACTCCAACACGCCCAGAACTAGAGAACATTGGGAACCGGAAACAAAGAACTTTTACCCCAAAATCCAGAAAGATTACAAAGTTCAGAGTAAGTTCTCTAAGCGCAATAAAAAGTTCCAAGTTTCAAATTTCTTGTTCCGAAAATATTCTCGGTGAAATAAAATCCTTGAATTTCCCTGAACTGATTCTAAATTCGTAATCTTAAATCAGTTGCTAACTGGTTCGGAGTCGATCCGGAACTGATTATAGTTGAATCTCGAATAAAGAACTGGTTCTGAATCAATTCTGAATTAAATCCTAGAACCGATAGAACTAGGGGTGCGTTCGAAATCACCCTGGACGTTACATCGAGTGCACACCAGCTATGAATTATTTATGGCTGGTGTGCACTCGGTGTGACGCCCAGGGTGATTTCGAACGCATTCTAGAGTACATCTGAAATCGCGCCTTAAAATCTGGCAACGTTGCAAAACGGCTGTCAAATGTCAAAGTTTTTCAAATTTTGTTTTGAAGTTTTCATGTTTTCTAACCTAATTGTAAACAAAACTAATAATTTCTAATATTTTAATCGTTTTCAGTGTTTTTTAATAGAGTTTAATGTAATTAATTCAATATTTGTCTTTATTAATATTTATTTTTAATTTTGGCTCGTTTTAATACCAAAAAACCACCATGGATCAAATGCTTCCGAGTCCTGGCTTCAGTATTCCCAGTATTGGTAAGTTTTCTGGCCTGAAATTACTTACCAGGGCCCCCTTTATAAGCCTCAACTATTTACTTAGTAGGTGGGCCCCAAATTGAATGATAATTTCCTTACTTGGGGCCCTCCTTTATAAGCCGCAAATAGTTACTCCAAATTGGCTTAAATTATTGTATTGTTTTCTCTCTTTTCAAGGTACTCCATTACATCAGTTAGAAGAAGACCAACAAATCCTTCCAAATGCATTACAGCAGCAACAGCAACCAATAACAAGTCAGGTGCCCCCTTTGGCCCCAATGGGTGGGCTAACGCCCACTTTAAGTTTGGGCATGGGTAATGCCATTGCAATGCCCCATACAAAATATGTGACTGGTTTCAGTATGCCTATGGGGGGTAATAATAGTGGAATGACCCCACAGACACCTGTAAGTATAATTAATTTGTAATCAAAGTTTTAGAGAACATTTGGTATTTTGCGCGGGGTTATTCACTAAAGGAAAAATGTTACAAGATTTCGGATCTAGAGAGATTTTGAGGGATTTCAGGTGATTTTGGAGGATTTCGGAAAGAATTCGAGGGATTATTCACTATGACAAGATTTTAGATTCAGAGCGATTTTGAGGGATTTCGGTTGGATTTCAGAAAGAAATCGAAGGATTATGCACTATGACAAGATTTCAGATTGAGAGCGATTTTGAGGGATTTCGGTTGGATTTCATAAAGAATTCGAAGGATTATTCACTATGACAAGATTTCAGATTCAGAGCGATTTTGAGAGATTTCGGGTGATTTCGGTTGGATTTTGGAAAGATTTCGATGAATCATTCACTATGACAAGATTTCAGATTCAGAGCAATTTTGAGGGATTTCGGGTGATTATGGAGGATTTTGGTTGAATTTTGGAAAGAATTCGAGGTATTATTCATTATGACAAGATTTCAAATTCAAAGGGATTTCGGGTGATTACGGAGGATTTTGGTTGAATTTCGGAAAGAATTAGAGGGATTATTCATTGTGACAAGATTTCAGATTCAGAGCGATTTTGCGGGATTTCAGATTTCAGGTGATTACGGAGGAATTCGGTTGGATTTCGGAAAGAATTCGAGGGTTTATTCACTATGACAAGATTTCAGATTCAGAAGGATTTCAGGTGATTACGAAGGATTTCGGTTGAAATTCGGAAAGAATTCGAGGGATTATTCACTATGACAAGATTTCAGATTCAGAGCGATTTTGAGGGATTTCGAAGGATTTCCGGTGATTTTGAAGGATTTCGAAGGATTTTGGGTGATTTTGAAGGATTTCAAAGGATTTCGGGTGATTTTGGAGAATTTCAGGTGATTTCGTAAATATTTTAATTTGATTTTAGACTGTTATTTATCTTATAAGTATATTCCTAAGTGTATTAGTATAAACCGAAAAACGGCCGCATTGACCGATTTATGAATTTTGTGCCAATTGCAAGGGATTTTTGGGTTTGCGGAAAGATTTCTGAGAAATTTTGGAGGGATTTCGGCGAATTTCAGAATGATTTTCTGGATTACGGATTTTGGGGATTTCAGTAGGATTTCGGAAAGATTTCAGGGATTTCGGACAAATTTGTGATAAGATTTTGGGGAGCATGTTTAGAATAGAATTTTTTATTATTAATTTCTTTTCTTTTCAGCAACATTCAATGATGACTTCGATGGTAAATTTGGGGGGTACAGGGGGTAGTACCCCCAGTATGACCCCCATAGTGGGAGGGCCTTCGACTCCAAGCCCGATGACCCCCATGACGCCCCATTCTGCTGATCCTGGAATCGTACCTCAATTACAGTAAGTAACTTTTTTTATAGTTTATTTTCATTAATTTCCTATTTTGGTATTTTTCATTAGAAAAGTTAGAAATTTTAGTATGTTAAGTTCCTAACTTTCCTCTTTTTTTTCCTGGAAGTTTCAAAATTTTCCCTTCGCCAGTTTTGCAGAGAAACAATAAAATGTAAGGGGGTGAATTTCTCAAAATTTGGCTAATTTTCAAGAATTTTTCCTGGAGTGGGTTTTCACTGGAAAATTTTGAAACTTTCCTAAAATGAGCTCTCAACTTTCCTCTTTTTTCTCTAAAAATTTCACAATTTTCCCTTTGCCAGTTTTCCAGAGAAAAAATAAAATGTAAGAGGGTGAATTTCCCTAAATTTAGCTATTTTTCAAGAATTTTTCCTAAAGTGGTTTTTCCGAGGGTTTTTCACTGGAAAATTTTGAAACTTTCCTTAAATGATCTCCCAACTTTTCTCTTTCTCCTCTTAAAATTTCACAATTTTCCCTTCGCCAGTTTTCCAGAGAAAAATAAAATGTAAGAGGGTGAATTTCCCTAAATTTAGCTATTTTTCAAGAATTTTTCCTGGAGTGGTTTTTCACTGGAAAATTTTGAAACCTTCCTAAAATGAGCTTCCAACTTTCCTCTTTTTCTCCTAAAAGTTTCATAATTTTTCCTCTAGTAGTTTCCCAGAAAAAAATTAAAATACAAGAAACTTCATTTTAAAAAAAAAAAAAATCCAAAATTTTTATTTTCCAGAAACATCGTATCCACAGTTAACCTAAACTGCAAACTGGACCTGAAAAAAATCGCTTTACATGCCAGAAATGCCGAGTACAACCCGAAACGTTTCGCCGCCGTCATAATGCGAATAAGGGAACCCCGAACCACGGCCCTGATTTTCAGTTCCGGCAAAATGGTGTGCACCGGAGCCAAAAGCGAAGAAGATTCCAGATTAGCTGCCCGAAAATACGCTCGGATCATCCAGAAGTTGGGATTCAACGCAAAGTTTCTGGATTTCAAAATACAGGTAAGAATTTTCTATTGATAAAATAATGGATGCACGTTATCAAAATTTATTTCGCAATGTTGCCGCATCAGCTTCATTTTACTAGTCTAGTCTTATATCCCAACTACATTAAAAACTAACAACAAACCTCAAATTATTAAAATCAATAACCGAAGATTTGCAACATTTGGCAACATTACCCACAAGTGCCAACCTAAATCCCATTTTATCGGCAGATTCGGTTATATGATCCGACAACATTATATCTCTTTTCAACTAGGGTTAAACAAAACAGAAAATGCGCTCTCTTTCATTGATAACGTGCATCCATTATTTACTTAATTTCTAGAAATACTTCCATAACTTGCTGGATTTTTCCAGAACATGGTCGGCAGTTGTGACGTAAAATTCCCGATCCGTTTGGAAGGTTTAGTGCTGACTCACAGCTCTTTCAGCTCGTATGAGCCTGAATTATTTCCTGGATTAATTTACAGGATGGTCAAGCCTAGGATTGTTTTGTTGATTTTCGTTTCCGGAAAAGTCGTGCTAACTGGAGCGAAAGTCAGGCAGGAGATTTATGAGGCCTTTGATAATATTTATCCGATACTTAAGAGTTTTAAGAAGCAGTGAATTTAGGATTTTTAGAGATTTTTTTATTGTTATATTGGCCATATTGGCCCTTTGTAAATTAATTATTTCTTACTTGTCTGTATTGTTTTTAATTGTCGTATTAATTGTGAAACTAATTATTTTGTTAATATATTTTCCTTGTCGCATGAATTTTCTTTATTTTTTCCCGGTATATCCTCTCAATTATTTCCCATATTTTGCCTGGTATATCCTCTTAATATATGAAAAATTTTTCGTCCGAAATTTTTTGGACTGGTATATCCTCTTAATAAAATTTCATATTTTTCTTCGGAAAATTTTTGGAGTGGTATATCCTCTTAATATTTGAAAAATTTATCGTCCGAAATTTTTCGGAGTGGTATATCCCCTTAATGAAATCTCATATTTTGCTTCGCAAAATTTTTGACGTGGTATATCCTCTTAATATTTGAAAATTTTTTCGTTCAAAATTTTTCGAAGTGGTATATCCCCTTAATATTTGAAAAATTTATCGTCCGAAATTTTTCGGAGTGGTATATCCCCTTAATGAAATCTCATATTTTGCTTCGCAAAATTTTTGACGTGGTATATCCTCTTAATATTTGAAAATTTTTTCGTTCAAAATTTTTCGAAGTGGTATATCCCCTTAATATTTGAAAAATTTATCGTCCGAAATTTTTCGGAGTGGTATATCCCCTTAATGAAATCTCATATTTTGCTTCGCAAAATTTTTGACGTGGTATATCCTCTTAATATTTGAAAAATTTTTCGTTCAAAATTTTTCGAAGTGGTATATCTCCTTAATGAAATTTCATATTTTGCTTCGCAAAATTTTTGGAGTGGTATATCCTCTTAATATTTGAAAAATTTTTCGTTCAAAATTTGTCGAAGTGGTATATCCCCTTAATATTTGAAAAATTTTTCGGAGTGGTATATACCCTTAATGAAATCTCATATTTTGCTTCGCAAAATTTTTGGAGTGGTATATCCTCTTAATATTTGAAAAATTTTTCGTTCAAATTTTTTCGAAGTGGTATATCCCCTTAATATTTGAAAAAATTTTCGGAGTGGTATATCCCCTTAATGAAATCTCATATTTTGCTTCGCAAAATTTTTGACGTGGTATATCCTCTTAATATTTGAAAAATTTTTCGAAGTGGTATATCCCCTTAATATTTGAAAAATTTTTCGTTCGAAATTTTTCGGAGTGGTATATCTCCTTAATGAAATTTCATATTTTGCTTCGCAAAATTTTTGGAGTGGTATATCCTCTTAATATTTGAAAAATTTTTCGTTCAAAATTTGTCGAAGTGGTATATCCCCTTAATATTTGAAAAATTTTTCGTCCGAAATTTTTCGGAGTGGTATATACCCTTAATGAAATCTCATATTTTGCTTCGCAAAATTTTTGGAGTGGTATATCCTCTTAATATTTGAAAAATTTTTCGTTCAAATTTTTTCGAAGTGGTATATCCCCTTAATATTTGAAAAAATTTTCGAAGTGGTATATCCCCTTAATGAAATCTCATATTTTGCTTCGCAAAATTTTTGACGTGGTATATCCTCTTAATATTTGAAAAATTTTTCGAAGTGGTATATCCCCTTAATATTTGAAAAATTTTTCGTTCGAAATTTTTCAGAGTGGTATATCCCCTTAATGAAATTTCATATTTTGCTTCGCAAAATTTTTGGAGTGGTATATCCTCTTAATATTTGAAAAATTTTTCGTTCAAAATTTTTCGAAGTGGTATATCTTCTTAATATTTGAAAAATTTTTCATTCGAAATTTTTCGAAGTGGTATATCCCCTTAATGAAATCTCATATTTTGCTTCGCAAAATTTTTGGAGTGGTATATCCTCTTAATATTTGAAAAATTTTTCGTTCAAATTTTTTCGAAGTGGTATATCCCCTTAATATTTGAAAAAATTTTCGGAGTGGTATATCCCCTTAATGAAATCTCATATTTTGCTTCGCAAAATTTTTGACGTGGTATATCCTCTTAATATTTGAAATTTTTTTCGAAGTGGTATATCCCCTTAATATTTGAAAAATTTTTCGTCCGAAATTTTTCCGAGTGGTATATCCCCTTAATGAAATTTCATATTTTGTTTCGCAAAATTTTTGGAGTGGTATATCCTCTTAATATTTGAAAAATTTTTCGTTCAAAATTTTTCGAAGTGGTATATCCCCTTAATATTTGAAAAATTTGTCGTTCGAAATTTTTCGGAGTGGTATATCCCCTTAATGAAATTTCATATTTTGCTTCGCAAAATTTTTGGAGTGGTATATCTTCTTAATATTTGAAAAATTTTTCGTTCAAAATTTTTCGTAGTGGTATATCCCCTTAATATTTGAAATTTTTTTCGGAGTGGTATATCCCCTTAATGAAATCTCATATTTTGCTTCGCAAAATTTTTGGAGTGGTATATCCTCTTAATATTTGAAAAATTTTTCGTTCAAAATTTTTCGAAGTGGTTTATCCTCTTAATATTTGAAAAATTTTTCATTCGAAATTATTCGAAGTGGTATATCCCCTTAAAGAAATCTCATATTTTGCTTCGCAAAATTTTTGGAGTGGTATATCCTCTTAATATTTGAAAAATTTTTCGTTCAAAATTTTTCGAAGTGGTATATCCCCTTAATATTTGAAAAATTTTTCGTCCGAAATTTTTCGGAGTGGTATATCCCCTTAATAAAATTTCATATTTTGCTTCGCAAAATTTTTGGAGTGGTATATCCTCTTAATATTTGAAAAATTTTTCATTCGAAATTTTTCGGAGTGGTATATCCCCTTAATGAAATCTCATATTTTGCTTCGTAAAATTTTTGGAGTGGTATATCCTGTTAATATTTGAAAAATTTTTCGTCTGAAAGTTTTCAGAGTGGTATATTTGACAATTTTAAGAGGATATACCAAGCTAAACTGGCACCAAATTGAAATAACACACAACAAACCTTTCATAAACCGTTTATTTGTCAGTATAAAAAAAAGAAAAATTCAAAAACCAAAAAGCAAATTAAAAACGTGACGCTCGATAACTAAAAAACTACTGTACAAAATATCACTACGGCGGAAAAAGGGGGGCACTAAACAATCCCAATTAGGCCCGGTTTATACACTTTCTGATAAACATTTTCAGGTAGTATAATCCAATAGAATCATGTATATCTGGCAGATAAGTTTATCTGAAGACGAATAAACCGGGTCTTATACTTACTTAAAATCTAAATATTGTCCGGCAAGTCATATATTGTCCTAAACATTTTAAAATATCACAGATTAATTTACAATAAAAATTTAGCTGCCTTTTTTGCGTGTATAGTATGGCCTTATTAATAGGAACACATTTTTTTAAAAAATAATTGGCACAAATAAGCAATTAACACGTTGATGGACAGAGAACGTCTATAGACGTCTAATTTTTATTGATGTTGTGACAACGTCTATAGACGACATAAACTATAAAATTCAGCACTTTCCTTATTCTGTTTTGCAAAATATAGATTTTTTATATTATATTTAGGATGACGTCATCGAACAAGGATAGGCAATGTTTTCAATAGCTATTTTTTTTAATTATAATTCACCAGAAAGTCGTGTATCAATAATTCTGACGACAGCTAAAAATAACGTCAACATAAAAGTCATGCAACGTCGCGTGCCTTTGCCAACTAAAAACATCTGAAATTCTCCTACTTTAAATGCGTTAAAAAGTACTTTTAGTTTTGTTGGGTTGGTAGCAGAAATTTACCAAATGTCATAAATATAGAGTAAAAATTCTATACATGAGTCCATCAACGTGTCAAGAAGAAATAATAAATTAACTAAAAAAACTAATTAAATTTTAAATAATAATAAAATGGAGATTCAATTAATTTATATACAAAATAAACAAACTATTTACACTCACTTGATGTTTGAAGCTTTTTTTAAACAGTTGAGCCGTGGTCCGAGTCTTCGACAGTCACATTCCTCTTCGGTCTGTTCTTTTCCAATTCGGCTTCGGCATTGTTGTTGGCCAGATGGCGCATTTCGATCACGGTCGGATTCTGGAAAAAATCCGAGCTAGAAATTTCTGGAATAGAGTAGATTAACCTAGTTTTAGTTTCTTTTGGTTTTTTTCGTGAGGGGGATTTTTTTTTTTTTGGTGTCTTATTTTTTCAGAGGTATTGTCAAAATAGAAACATTTGACAGGTGTCAATCGCTTATTGACACCTGTCAAAATACCAAAAGAAATTTTTCAAAACTGATGTTCATATGGAAATTTCTAAAGGGGTAAGCTTTTTAAGAAAATTTTTGATCAAAAAGTATTTTCCTCCCTTTTCAACTTATAAGGTTTAAGGGAAGTAAATGTGGAGATTTGTAGAGAGTTTGTAGTAATTTTCTGTTGCCCACCTATTTTCCAATTTATTTTCTCAGTCATAATAGACTGACAGTTAATGACATATTTTGCTGACCGATTTTCTCTCTTCAAACTTTGGGGATTTCAATCGCTGAAAATTATGTCGGTGCTGAGCTCAAAAAATAAAAATTAAGCGCCGGACGTCTGCTAGGCATATGAAAAATTTACTTTTCCTTTGCAGCGGGCCAGCGGCCGTAAAATATACCTCAACAGCTGACTGGCTTATGGGATTTTTTTTCTAGTTCCGGTAATAATATATATTTTTTCCTTTTCATGGGCGAATGTATAACATTCATTGCACGTAGGCCGTCAGTCTAGGCCCGTTTGTGCGCCCCTTTGTTTAAACTAGCCCCGCGGCTCTGGCAAATGCACAGAGCTTTCGGGGCTTAATGTTTCTTATGTCTTCGGGGTCAATAACGTGTCTGCCGAAGTACACCATTCTGATCCTGGCAATAGCTGGACATTCGGTGAGGACATGGATGGAGGCAGAGCTGGGCAGGGCTTGAGTGCTTTGTGCTTGCGAAAGTGCTTGAAGCACTTTGAGGGCTTGAAAGCCCTGTGCTTCAAGCCCTTTTATAGATTTGTAATTGGGGCTTGCAAAGTCAATTACTTTAGAAAAGTGCTTGGTAATTTGTAATTGAAAAAAGTAATTCAAGCCCTTTCAATGAGCTTCAATTACTTTTAGAGGGCTTGAAGCACTTTTGGGAGCTTGAAGCCCTTTGAAAGGGCTTGAAGCCCTTTAAGAGGGCTTGAAGCACTTTTGGGAGCTTGAAGCACTTTGAAAGGGCTTGAAGCACTTTAAAAGGGCTTGAAGCACTTTAAAAGGGCTTGAAGCACTTTGAAAGGAATTTGAATTGACCATCATTCAACCTCCCACTTAAAAATTTTCGATCGTGTTTTGTCCCTTAATTTTTTTTTCTTTTATTTGAACTTGAACCGTCTTATGTCTTTTCTCTCTTAACAATGGAGGTTTTGGGTTCGAGCTTAGAACGGAATTTAAAAAAAAAATGAATGAACTTATTATTAAAATAAATAATTAATTTATATTGGTACCCTATTTAACTTTATCACTGGATTTTTTCCACTTTTCCCCATTGAACATTTTGAAAACCTTAAAACTGAAGTACCATGTAGTACCCCAAGTACCTACCCCAGAACTACATCTCAAAAAAAAACATACTACTGCTACTCTGTGAAATGTAAAGTTCGTCTCTACTATACCAATTCTGTGTGATGAGTTTACGCGGTAGCTTATGCCACTTTGAGAATTTTATTACAAATTCAAAGTGCTTTAGGCACATTTAAAGAGCTTCAAGTACATTTAAAGAGCTTGAAGCCCTTTTCAAGGCACCTCAAGCACTTTTGATGTGCTTCAAGCACTTTTCAAATCACTTTGAGGGCTTTGTGCTTGTCAAGCCCAAAGCACTTTGAGGGCTTTGTGCTTGTGAAGCACTTTTAAAAATAAACAGGAATTTGTGCTTGAAATTGAAGCACTTTGATAGAGGGCTTAGGGCTTAGTGCTTCAAGCCCTTTTACTGAGGGCTTTGCCCAGCTCTGGATGGAGGTTTCTTCATCCTCCAGACAGAATCTGCACCCAGGGTCATCTACGATCCCCATCACGAGCAGATGTCTGTTGAGCTGACAGTGTCCGGTGAGGCATCCTGTCAGCAATTTGATGTCTTTCCTCCCAAGCTCCAGGATAACCTTGCTCTCGCTTGGCTTTCTGGTTTCCATTAGCAGTTCTGCCTGCCTCATTCCGCTGCAGCTTTCAGGCTTTGCGAAGCATTGTCTCCTTTAGAAGTGCCACTGCTGTCAAGTATGGCAGGCCTATTACTGGTTCGGGACCCATTACTGAATCTGCCCAGCCTTTCCTCGCCAGAAGGTCGGCCTCTTCGTTGCTTTGGACATTGGAATGTCCCGGTACCCATACGAGGTTGACGGCCTGTTGTGTCTGGCTATAGTGCACAGCGTATGCCACTATCGCTGCAGTGCCGCTTTGCTGTTCGAGTAGACATAAATATCCTTATTTGTAAAGGCATGTTGGAGGTTTTCGTGACCATATTTTAGGATGGCATAGATCTCTGCCTGAAAGACGGATGCGTACAAGCCAAGGGCGTAGGATAGCCTAGCGCCCGTGGTTTTCCCGTAGACACCCGCTCCTGCGCCGCTGCCCATCTTTGAGCTGTCTGGCGTGTCTGCTGTGTTCCCCCACTCATTCCTACTGGGATAGGAGAATTTGAGGGGTCCACATGGCTGTTTGGTAGGTAGAGTCTTATCCCGTTTCATCAGCAGGGCTGGGCAACTTTGTGTTCCCTCTCGCCAAATGCTTATATGTCCCCGGAGACATTTATTGTCCCTCAGGTGTCCAAATCCCTGCAGCCTGTATTCCGACCTCAGGGCTTCGTTTTCCAGAAATAGGTGAACAGGTGGTAGCCCAATCAGCCTTTTAATAGCTTTGGTTGGGGCCGTCCTCATAGCACCAGTTATCCCAATTCAAGCAAGTCTCTGAACACTGTCTAGCAGAGCCCTGGTCTTAGTTGTCTTTGTCCCGGGCCACCAGATAATGGCACCGTAAGTGATAATGGGTCGTATGATTTCCGTGTATATCCAATACAGGATTTTGGGTTCCAGGCCCCACGTATTGCCAAAGGCTCTTTTGCATGGCCATAGAGCGTTGTCGGCTTTTTTGACTTTACTGCTTAGGTGCTTCCTCCAGGTCTGTGTCCATACATTAAAAACTATATCCATCAACATGAGAACAATGGACAATAACATTCAATGAAACACGATTTGAAAGTCAAAGGTGGGAATTGATCCAAAAGGGGCTTCAGTGTGACCTCAGGAAACCATCACAATTCCCTGGCTGCCACTAACAAACCAATAAGCATAAATATTAACTGCGTTCTGTTGTGAAGTGTTGAGGTAGTTTCAAAAAGTTATGATGTAATTTTATAATTATTGAACAATTTTAAAGTCAAGTTCAAAAGTCAAACCAAAATGTGTGTTGGTGTCATTTTGGATAAAAATCCAAATCAAAAGACTGAAACTTTGCAGCTAATAACTATTGAAGTTGCATTGAAATCATTCACAGGTGATTTGTAGAGAATTTGGTTAGCTTCAATTGAAGTACATTGAGATCGCATTGAAATTAGCAAAGTTGTGATGAAATGAAAAAAATAAATAAAAAATTCTCACCTTGTCTGTATCAGCCAAAGGATTCGAAGTGATGGTAATCCGATTACCCGCGCACCCATTAGTCCTTGGAATTGTTTTCGGTTCCACCACGTAATCTTCAGCTTGATGCATGTGATGTTCTACATTCGGCTGTTTATCTTAATTATAAATAATTTAATTAATTTAGTTTATCAAAAAATAATAGATTTGTTACTGCAGTCAGAACAAATCTCATTGGTTGAAAACAGTCAGAAAACTAAATTCAACCAATGAAATTCATTCTGATTAGTTTATAATTTCTGATCTATTATAATTCTCACCTGACAGTTTCTCTCTTTGCCATTTTCTGCAAACAAACAACAAAATAATCGCAGTGACAACAAGGCCGAAACCTATAACCGCTCCGGCAATTATAATATAAACATTATTATTAGCATTGGAGGACTCCTTGGTTGATTCCTTGGTACTACTCATGGTACGCTGAGTAGTGCTAGTACTTGTAACAGGATTAACTAAAAAGTAACAAAATTGTGTATAAGATAATAGTGGTTTATTTGTTTTAACTGTTTCAGAACTAGTAATTTCCAGTTGCCCACCTATTTTTCAATAAATTGAATGTTTATCCTACTTGACAAATGAATTGAGCGACTGGAAATTACCAGTTGCAACAGAACTTAAAACTCAAATTACCTCCAGTTCGTCCTTTCATAATCGGACTGAATTCGCTGGCCAATTTTTGATTGAAACTTTGCAATTTTATATCGTAGATGCTTTCGGGTTGTAAATAATTCAAAACGTAGCTTCGGGCGTCTTCGCCTTCTACTGTATTAATCATGTAGTCGTCACCTGCTCTGGTAGCAATTAGGTGAAGGATATAGAAACCATCAATGGTAACATTGTAAGGTGGACACTAAAAATTGATGATTTCGAAAGTGGTTTTTGAACTCAGATATCCTGGTACATAAAGTTATAGACTTACAGCTGTATGCAACATCCTCTTTTAACTTCAAAGTGCTTTTTAAAAATGGTCACTTTTAATAATGTATATTCTAATCCATATAAATTTTTAAAGGTACCAGTTTGAGCTGTTAGAGTATATACTACCTACAATACTATAAAGACAGGACAAGTCATTCATAAATTACCAAATAGTTTGACCTAACATCAACAAGTGCTTAGAATTACTTATCAATGAGTGCAGCTAAAGATTTTTTGTGGTGGGAAAACGCTGCAGCCGACAGGGATGTGTTCTTTGACGTCAAGCGGTTGCCTATCCTTGTCTTATATAAGAAATTGGAAAAGGACATTGCATAAATATGATGGATCTATTTTACTATATGGAGCAATGTGGTGTTTATAATGTGCATATATCAATGTTAGAGCAAAGCAAACAGGCACCTTGTCCTATCTCTACAGTATTGTAGGTGTATAGTCTAAGGTTATGGACCCAGTGTTACAGCGTTACGGGGAATTCTTCTATCAGTGTAACGAATTGGGTTTCTTAATTATTTAATAAAACTTCCAAGCAAAAATATAAATATAAATCTTACCTCCCAGTAAATCTTCACAGCAGAATGATTGACAGTTTCCACATGCGTAATAAGACAAACAGGCAGAGGATTTTTCTCGAAAAAGTCCAGGCTCCTCAAATGAAAGGTCTTAGATTTCGGGCTCATCTTGGAATCATTGTTGGTGTACACAGCAGCAATCCGGAACCGATAACAGTGGTCCGGTTTCAAACCGGATACTTCATAAGCGGTTATTGTTGCAGATATATCTGTATTCGCAGTATTCCAGACTAAAAAAAAATAAATATTTAGAAAAGTATGTTATACAGAAGAAAAAATTAAGTAAGTTTATTCAAAGAACCAATAAATGAAGTTGAAATTACAATATAAAGCTCTGTTCCAACTGTCATGAGAACTAAATTTTTAAGCAAAATTAAGGAAAATTCACCCTCTTACATTTTAATTTTTTTCTGAGAAACTGGCAGAGGGAAAATTTTAAAAATTTTCCAGGAAAAAGAGGAAAATGAGGAGCTCATTATAGGGAAATTTCGAAATTTTCCAGTGAGAAATCACTCCAGGGAAAATTCTGGAAAATTGACTTTTTCGAGTAAAATCAAAGACAATTCATCCTCTGACATTTCAATTTTTTTTCTGGAAAACTGGCAAAAGAGGAAAAAGAGGAAAGTCAGGAACTCATTATGAGAAAAATTCAAAATTTTCCAATAAAAAATTACTCCAGGAAAAATTCTGAAAACATGACTTTTTCAAGTAAAATTAAGAAAAATTCATCCTCTCACATTTCAATTTATTTTTGGAAAACTAATAAAGCAAAACTTGTGAAATTTGTCCAAAAAAAAAAATGGAAAATAAGAAGCTCATTATAGGAAAATTTGAAAATTTCCCAGTAAAAAATTCAGGAAAATTGACTTTTTCAAGAAAAAATTAAGGAAAATTCATCCTCTCACATTTCAATTTTTTTCTAGAAAACTGGCAAAGCAAAAATTGTGAAATTTTCCCAAAAGACAGAGAAAAGTGAAAAACTCAATATAAGAAAATTTCAAAATTTTCCAATGGAAAATCGCTCCAGGAAAAATTCTGAAAAAATTACTTTTTTCTACTACTGTGCGTAAAGTACTCACTTTACGCACTATTCAGTCGACGCAAAATTCCACTTCACACACTAGTGCGTAAAGAAATGTCAATGACAGCGTCAAAATTCACATTCGTGAAAAAAGGTTCACTTTACACACTTGTTGCATAAAGAACTATTTCAAGTAAAATTTAAAAAAACTCATCCTCTCACATTTCAATTTATTTCTGGGAAAGTAATAAAGCAAAACGTGAATTTTTTCCAGGAGAAAAAGGAAAGTGAGGAGCTCATTATAGGAAAATTCCAAAATTTCCCAATAAAAAAATCTGGAAAATTGACTTTTTCAAGTAAAATTAAGGAAAATTCAACTGTCACATTTCAAATTTTGAAAATTTTCCAGGAAAAAGAAGAAAATGAGCTCATTATGGGAAAATTTCAAAATTTTCCAGTGAAAAATCACTCCAGGAAAAATTCTAAGAAATTGACTTTTTCAAGTAAAATTAAGGAAAATTTATCCTCTTACATTTTAATTTTTTTCTGGGAAACTGGCAAAAGGAAAATTGTGAAAATTTTCCAGAAAAAAAAGGAAAGTAAAGAGCTCATTATAGCAAAATTTTCAAATTTTCCAATGAAAAACCACTCACTAAAAAATTCTGGAAAATTGACTTATTTAAGCAAAATTAAGAAAAATGCACCCTCTTATATTTTAATTTTGTTCTGTAAAACTGGCAGAGGAAAAATTTTGAAAATTTTCCAAAAAAAAGAGGAAAGTGAGAAGTTCATTATGGGGAAAATTTCGAGTAGAAATCACTCCAGAGAAAATTCTGGAAAATTGACTTTTTCAAGTAAAATTAAGAAAAATTCATCCTCTCACATTTCATTTTTTTTCTGGAAAACTGGCAAAAGAAGAAAAAGAGGAAAGTCAGAAGCTCATTATAAGAAAATTTCAAAATTTTGTAATAGAAAATCGCTCCAGAAAAAATTGTGAAAAAATTACTTTTCCAAGTAAAATTAAGAAAAACTCATCCTCTCATATTTCAATTTATTTCTGGAAAACTAATAAGACAAAAATTGTAAAATTTTTTTAGAAGAAAGAAAAAAATGAGTAGTTCATTATAGGAAAATTTCAAAATTTTCTAGTGAAAAATCACTTCAAGAAAAGTTCTGGAAAATTGACTTTTTGAAACAAAATTCATCCTTTTACATTTGAATTTTTATCTGAAAAACTGGCAAAGCAAAAATTGTGAAATTTTTCCAAAAGAAAAAGGAAAGTGAGGAGCTCATTATAGAAAAATTCCAAAATTTCCCAATAAAAAATTCTGGAAAATTGACTTTTTCAAGTAAAATTAAGGAAAATTCACCTCTCACATTTCAAATTTTGAAAATTTTCCAAGAAAAAAAAGAAAGTGAGGAGCTTATAATGGAAAAATTTCAAAATTTTCCAGTGAAAAATCACTCCAGGAAAAATTCTAAAAAATTGACTTTTTCAAGTAAAATTAAGAAAAATTCATCCTTTCACGTTTAAATTTTTTTTCTGGAAAACTGGCAAAGTAAAAATTGTGCAATTTTTCCAGGAGAAAGACGAAAGTCAGGAGCTTATTATAGGACAATTTCAAAATTTTCCAGTGGAAAATCACTCCAGGAAAAATTCTGGGAAACTGACTTTTTAGGCAAAATTCACCTCTTACATTTTAATTTTTTTCTGGGAAACTGGTAAAAAGAAAATAGTGAAAATTTTCCAGAAAAAAGAGGAAAGTAAAGAGCTCATTATAACAAAATTTTCAAATTTTCCAATGAAAAATCCGAGGGGTGAACACATTTGGCAAAAAGTGTACACCTATATCCCTTTTCCGAGTATATCACCTAAGTATTCCCCCGGTTCTTAGAAATCCTTAGAAAATCCTACTACATCCCAATAAATCCTAGTACATCATAGTAATTCCTTGGTAAATCCTTGCATATCCTAGTAATTCCTTGATCTACATCGCAGTAAATCCTTTATCGTTATTATGATTATTATTACCTAATAATAATATTCCTGTACATAAATAAGGCATATTCGTTAGAAACATTATAGTTATTAAGATACCAAGGGCAATATGAGCCAAATAAGTCCCCGAGGTCCGATAGAGTACAAGCCAAGGGCATTTGACCCTTTAGTTCATATTGCCCGTGGTGACTTCAACGTTTTATGTTTCACTAGTATTTTTATTTCGTACCTATCTAAATTTAAATTATTTGAATTTTACCTGACATTTTTTAGTTAAAATTTTGCTATTTTTGTCATATTTCTTCCAAAATAAAGGTTAAATTCCTGGAAGCGATTTAACCGGTGTGAAACCGGTATACAACTGGCTTTTTAATTGTTTATAATGCCCTAGGGCGTTATGAGAAAATAACATCCCCAGGCATGGGCGCCGCCAGCCAGCGGGACAGGGGGGGGGGGCAAGGCCAGCGTTGCCAGACGTACGACAGGTGTGGTATTTGTACGACAGTTTAGGGCATCTTCGTTACAAGAAAATCAATGCGTATGGTAGTACGGTAATGTACCACAGTTTTGAAATTCTCCTTTTTTTCTTATGTGTGTTGGCCAAATTGGGTTTGGGTGGAGTTTGGGTACCTTGCTTGACAACCTTGCATGTCATTATGATGGGTTATGTGATGTGTCAATTATGTCATACTCCCTCTCCATCAAATTCTGGGCCTGCGACGTCACTATCAGCATCTTATAGCGATGACGTCACCCGCAGACCTCGATGGAGTGCTTGCGATTTAGGCTGTTCTAGTGAGTTAAATTTTGTCGATTTTAAATGTAGAAAAGGTGATTTTTGGTCTGTTTTAACACAGAAGAAATTAAAAGCGTTTTCTCGCGGGGCGAATGGTTCAATTACGGTTTAAACCAATTTGTAGATGACGTCATTACTTATGAACGCGAGAAAATGGAAAGTTTGAACCACAGTCTTATGTTAACGAAGAATAAGTTATGATTTCGGTTCGAACTTTTCTGAACCAGGTTCAATGTGACGTCACTGGTTCAACACAAGAATGTATAGGTTCGAAACTAATTGAACCGGATCGAACAAGTTCCATCGTAACGCAAGAAAACAGCTTAAGTGTTCTTGATCCTCGAGTATCCCAGAATTTGATGGTAGGGGAGTTAAGAGAATATAACACAATTGACACATCACATAATCGACCATCAACGTTACAAAAGAATTTGTTTCAATTTGACTAAGTACCTACAAAGTACCTCAATAAATTTAATAAATAGTTTCATTTGATTTCCCGTTACTCCTGTTGCTGTAATTTTTAATGTAAGGTCTATTTTCAAGTTTCCAACATTTTGCGTTCTTAAAAAAAATCATATTTTTTCTAGTAAATAGGTATGTACTTACTAAAAATGTATTATGTGAGGTAATGTGTACCACAAGTATTCGTGGTGCGTACGTCCCTGTACGACAGTTTTTGAGCATTATGTACCACACTTCCATATCTAGAGTCTGGCAACGCTGGGCAAGGCACGGGGGGGTCCTGTCCCCGTACATACGCCACCGGTGTAAATTTTCGCAAATGTGAAGGTCATTTTTATGTATGTATAAAATGTATACTCTTTTGTGGATTTCTATTGACATAATATGTTTTAGTGTTGTATAATATTTTATAAAAAAAAAATTGAGAAAATTGCTATTCCATCCACAGAAGTGTTTCGACCTCCTATCAGGTCTCGTCGGTATGGCTAGAAAAGCAAAGAAAACCAATCCAAGCTTAGTGCCTGTAGGCAAAATAGTGGATAATAGGAGAAAACTTGTTTTCCCTATTCTGGGTTTTCCCAACTATCTGATTTTTGGTCGGCCTATTAGATGGTCATCACTAAATACAGCAAAAGTGCTATTTAGTGTTGAATACTAGTCTTAGATGGCGCCACGATCAAATTTCGCTCGTCGTACTACTTCTATTTTGCCTAAAGGCACTAAACTTGGATTGGTTTTCTTTGCCTTTTTAAGTTCCCAGCCGTACTGACGAGTCCTGATAGGTCAAAACGCGTCTGTGGATGGAATAGCAGAGAAAATTAATCCAAAAATTTTCTCATCAGTGGATAATAGGAGAAAACTTGTTTTCCTTATTCTGGGTTTTCCCAACTATCTGATTTTTGGTTGGCCTATTGCCTATTAGATGGTCATCACTAAATACAGCAAAAGT